CCAGAGAGAGGCAAAGGCTCTAACTTGGCATCAAGCCCCTAGAGCCACACTGAGATTATGCCAAAGAGATTTACTGCGCAAGGAGGCAGGGGATCTTTGTTGGATTCGGGGGCGTTGTTTGTTTTCAAAATAATGGGGCCAACCACCACTGTGTCAAGAGCCCCAGAGCGTTGGTGTGGAATGTGCCTTTCTCTAAATTGGATTTCAGGTAATCTATTATGGAAGTATTCTTGAAGCTAGAGTATATCAGAGCCAGAAGGTCCCGTAGAGACCATCTGGTCCAAGCGCCTCCTTTGTGTTAGATAAACCATTCAGGGGAACATGCATGTAGAATTGTTTTCTCAGTGGGATAAGTTTGAGTGATTCCAGCCACTTAAACTTTGTGGCCAGTGGTAGATGTGATTACAAGTGAATGACTGGGAGTTCTAAGAACCATCCAGGGCTATAAAACCCAGCAAAGCTCGCAAGAACTCACATGGAGATCGACCCCTTCTCCTCAATCCAGGGTAGAATGAATGGGGCTGACCCAAGCATGAAGCCAGCTGGAAGGGATATGAAGTCAAAGTGAGACACATGCTGAACAAAGGACAGCTAGGTTGAATGCTTCTAGAAAGAAACAGAAAGTGAGAAGGAAGGAAGATAAGGTCCTTCCTGAGTACGGGGCTGGACAGTGAGACACAAGGCAGTGAAAAATGCCCAGTGCATCTGTCTGCTTGGCTTTGAAATATGGCATGTCTCTTGTGGCAATAGGGCCACCCCATAACTACACTTTGTTCTAGTGATTTCTCCAGTGGTTTAGTATCCTTTGAACCTATGCCAGATGTCCCCTGACCTGCTGAGTGGCAGGGGGCAGCTGGTCTGAGATTGTAGCTTGCCACGTAGAATTCACCCAGCAAGGAGACAAGGAAGAGAAGAGTGGGCACTCTGAGGTAGACAGCCTCGGATTAAATGCAGGCTTCTGAGTGACCTTGGGCAAGTCATTTAGTGTGTGAAAACCTTAATCTCCTCATCTGTAAAATAGGTATATGACCTGCCCCGTAGTGTTGTCATGAAGAATAACCAGGATAATGCGCATCTGGTCGCTAGCATGGTGTCAGACACATCAATGATTAGTACGTGTTACTACAGTATTGGTATTGAAGGGAATGGTTTAGTGTTGACGGAAGTTAAGATGGACACAGAGAACTTGAAGAGAAGCCAAGGGGTTCAGCAAGCACCACTATGGGAAGAAAGTGTTGCGGAGAGAGGGATTTTAGGGCAGATTAGAAAAATGAAAGCTATTCAGATCCTCAGCTCTGCTGAGACCTGGATCAGAAAAAGCTCCAACTATCGCATGAGGGACTGGGGTTAGGCTTATGGAAGAGATTCCCTGACAGTGGAGGGTATCAGATGGTACTAGGCAGAGAGTTTTTCTTATATTCTGGGATTGTTTGGTCAGCCATTCCTGGAGCCAGAGAGGTGGATGAAATGCCACAGATCCAACCCCGGTTCTTGATTCTGAGGATGGAAAGCAGCAGATGTGGGACCCAGCTGCCCCTAGAAGCTGTGTTTGGCAAAGGTTCTCAGACGCATCCGATGGATTGGGCTCTCTTCCGCTAACCTACAGTGCTTAACAGAGGGGAGCAACTCAAGTTTTCGGCAGTCTTGAGCTTTCCTCTCATAGGAGTGGATTAAGACATTTTTTCATTGGCCCTTTAAAGCCAAGGTGGCTGAGGCAGTGTCATATCTTGATGTCTCCCTGCTGCCCAGATTCCCCTGGAAACCCATGATCCCACTCATGAGCCAGGGAGAGCAGGAAAGGGCAGACAGTCCTTGGGCTAGAGGTCAGAGGGGCCCACGTGGGAAGCTCTTTCTGAATCCACCGACGTGAGCTTTGGTATCAGGGTTCTGAGTTTGATCCGATATTAGGTCCAACCTCAGCCCTGAAGATCAGGGAGAATAAGAGCAGCATCATGAGGCTGGACAGGCTGAATCCCCATCTCTAAGAGGGTGGGTGAGATCGTATGACCCTAGGAGACTGTCATCCTCTACCATGCACAGTCCTAGAGAGGAATCACCTTTGTCTTAGAGATTCTTCCTGGATCTCCTTCTCCAGGGAAAGAAATCAGCCACCTTCCCTTGGGAGCAGTGGCCCCCAGAGCCACCAGCTGGATTGTCCTTCATCAATTTTCATGTAAATCCCTCCTGTTGCAGCTGACCACAGTTCTTCATAACCTCCCCTTTGGGTTCAGCTTCTCATCCCTTAATGAAACCACGTGTCACCCTGACTCCTCTTCAAGCTTTCCATGGCCTTAAGAATCCAGTTGAAATGCCTTTGGAACCTCTTAATTCCTAGCCCAGCTTCTCTCTCCAGCTTGGGCCTTAGAAACCAAGGAGGGATGGGATCTTAGCCGAGTGGAAGAGGTTCACCAGAGCAGCTCAACAAGATACTATGTCTTTTTCCTTCACCTCTTTTACCCTTGGATTTGGGTTTTCTTTGGTTTGATACTCCCAAAGCTGACTGTCAGAAGGAGGGACCGATGGGGTAGCCATATTTAAAGAGGGGAGATAGTATAACTATCAGAGTGCACGCTTTGGTGCCAAATGGTCCAGAATCCAAAACATAACTGGCCTGTGACCTTGCCAAGTCTGTGGATTTCCTTGAGCCTCAGTTCCCTCTGCTGAAAATGGAGGTGGTACCCCGAAGGTTTGTTGTGAGGATTAAGCATGACTATGATATCTAGAGAGGGCTATAGCACAGGCTTGGCCCCTCATGAATGCCCACCAAATGGTGGCCCTGATTATTACCTCTGACTTTTAGGATGCTCTTCCCTATATTTTTGAACTTTGGCTTGTTTCCCAGGACCTTCTCTTCCTTTGGGATAATTCTATGGTTGCTAGCCCACATCCTACAAGTGAAGTATTGCTGTAACCTTTTTATAGTCACAGCGACAGCATGTCAAGGCCCCCACAGCGAGACTCAGCTCGTTTCTCCTCCTTCCCATACTTGGTGCTTTGCTGGTCAAGTGCGCTCACGCTGCTGCCTGCTATGGTGTGAATTAAATGTCCATGGGGTCGCAGGTTGGTTTCTGCAGATTCCCTCACTTCGTGGAAGGAGAATGCCAGCCGGGCTGGGACCTCTTCATGTAGTCCCAGCGTTCCCAGCACTCATTCAGAGTCACCAGCCTAATACCAGAGCCTCCTGCCCTGAAATACCCTTCTCCTCATAGTTCCCTTGACCTTGTGTTGTCTGGACTGTTTTGGTGATTCCATGATAACGGGTGGGAGGAAGCTGCTGCTTTGGTATCAGGCTTCCTTGGTACTGAGAGCTGGCTGCTACAAGGGTCATAGACGGTAACCGATTAACCACATAATGGATTAACCCGGTCAGTAGCCACTGGTGTATATGTGTGTGCTGGTGGGACACATGAGGACATCTACAGAAAGAGAAATAACACATGGGGTACACTTTCGCCTTCTTTTTTGTTCCCTTCTCCCCTTGAATTCATTCATCCCACAACACTTATGGAACGCTTGCTGTATGTGCCACGCGTTGTGCCGGCTGCCTCACTAACCCCGCGTACGTCTCATCATTTCTTCCCCTGACGAAAGCATAAAATAGACCCCAGCTCTATGAAACGCACTCCCCGATGGCTAATGGAGAGAAGCTGAGTGCCTCTGAGACAGGAGCCCTGCTGATCCAGCCAGGCACCAGCCTATCCAACAAGCTCTTTTAGGAGACACCAGTGTCACAGAGACAAGAGTTCCCCTGCCACCCTGTCCTCACCGCCAGGACCCCTTAATGGCCCCCAGCCGGGAAGATGCCTTTGTCCCCACTCGAGTCATCTCTGACAGCTCCCAGCTCCTGGCAGCTCTGCCTGCCTTTCTCCTCTCGCTTCTCCAACTGAGCCTAAGACCCACTGCAGCCCTGGGTAGACTCAGCTTCTAGCTTTAACTCTTCTTGTTCATAACCCTACACCTTTGGGCAGGGGTGTCTCCTCCAGCTTCCCTTTGCTTTGGGGTTCCTGGTTGGAAAACCCCTGCTCTTCTCCCTTCTGCCTTACCTGTGTCCATAGAACTGTGCAAAGAGCTCCCCAGGAGAGGTGAGGCGCAGGTAAGGTGGGGTCCGCCGTGCTGGGGGTGTGCCCAGACTTGCATGACCCCGTCCACAGCCAAACAGCCACCCTGGCCGTGTCGACCTCTGTGAGCCACCTGGCCTTCAAACCCTGCGTGCATGGCACTGTTTGTGGACGTGGCTGCTCCAGCCTAGTTGAATTGTAGATCACCTCCCCCATCTCGGCTGCCACTTTCCACTCCCCCTCCCCCAGTCTCTCACATCCAATTAACACCCTCCTCCCAGCCCCCTTCCAGAGTCATTAGTGAAGAAGCAGAATGCTCTTGGCCCCAGAGTGATTTCCTGTCATCTCTGCTCATTCATTCTCTCCATGTCTTTGCTAAACCATTAATAATGTTGCCTGCATCTCTGACTGTTCATCTGGGTCTCTGTGGCTTCATCCCAGCTCCTTGTCTCCAGGGTCCCAAAGAGCAGGTTGTCTGTCCTGTGGCCCCGGTACGTGCCTTCTCATTCATACACTGCTGCTGAGACGGCCTCCCCGGGGGGCCACCACATTGGTCTCTGGGGTCCCAGCACAAGATGCTCAGGGAGTAAACTGCTCACTGCTCAGACAACCCCCTCCGCCTTTCCCAGGAAGGTGGGGTTTACTGAACCGGGCAGGAAGCTGGGCTCCTCTTGGCAGATCCTTTCAGATCTTAGAGCTGCTCACACACATGTGCCAATGGGGCCGGGGAGCCCCGCGCTTCCTAACATGCCTCTCTTAATGATGCCCTGGCTCTTGGGGGGGGGGGGCAGTTTCAGCTGGGAGGGTCTGGGACTTGGTGCCTCTGAGGGTAAGGGGGTAAGTAGGGGGCGTGATGACACTTCTTCCTAGCCTGACTGCTTGGGCCTAGCTGGGTCAGCTCTGGGCAGGAGGCTCATGAGAGCGTCTTCTATCCTATTTCAGCACGAGGAGTTGCAGAAAGAACACCCAGCTTCATGTATCCCCAGGGCACGGCGAGCAGTCAGATGGTGCTGCGTGGCATGGATCTCTTGCTGGAGTGCATCGCCTCCGGGGTGTACGTACAGCTTGCACCCCCACTCTGGTCCCTCCCCAGGAGGACGGGGCTGGGAATTCACGCAGGCTCTCTTCTTGCCACGGTGTGGGGAGGCAAAAAGAGACACAGACAGCCTCTAGCAAGGCCTTTGCAAAGCATCATCATTCCCATCCCGCTCTGGCTGTCTCTTTTATGGGTAACGGACCAGGAAGGGAGATAGGTAGGCGTCCCGCACGTGTGTTCACACCCCGTGTGACTTTACAGCAGCCCCTCGGGGCTCTATGGCCAAGCATCCCCTCTGTACAGGAGAGGGCCTCTCTCAGAGGACCTGCGTCCTTCTGGTTGCACGTACACTTCAAGGACGCCCGGGTGTCCCGGGCTCTGTAGAAGAAGAGCAGGGCCACAGTTGGTGCTAATCCCTATTTCCTGCTCGGTCTCTCTCCCAGCCCAACACCAGACATCGCGTGGTACAAGAAGGGTGGGGACCTCCCCTCTGATAAGGCCAAGTTTGAGAACTTTAACAAGGCTCTCCGTATCACCAACGTCTCCGAGGAAGACTCTGGGGAGTATTTCTGCCTGGCCTCCAACAAGATGGGCAGCATCCGGCACACGATCTCGGTGAGAGTAAAGGGTACGTTGTGTGTATTTCTCATTATGATGATTTTGCCAGCCCTACACGCCACAACCACCTTTCCCTCTGCGGGTGAGGGAGGGGCGGGGGGGAGTAAGGGAGAGCCGATAACACATGGGTTAGTGGCCATGGTGACCTGCCAGGGATAGTGTCACCCTCTGGATGTGAGTGTGTGTGTGCATGTGTGGGTGTGTGTGCACGCGCACGCACGGTGGGTATGAGGGGAAGGAGAGATCCACCCTGACCATCCCCCACCTCTCTGTGATGCCTGAGGCTCCCTCCGCAGGTGAATGTACCCCCGTGGGCCATTCGGATTTCATGCAGCACCTTTCCTTCTTCATTTTGCATTCCCGTTCACAGTGTGTCGTCTTAGCCCTGTCCTGTCTGTGTACTTGTGCATGGTTCTTTCTTAAAAATGGGGAGTTATCATGGCACAAATTATTTTTTTTTAAAAATCACTTCCCTCCCTCTGCAGCGCAGATGGCCCATGTGAGCTGTTGCCCGCAATAGAGCACGTGCCGTGATGGGTCCCGGCCGTGGGTGGTGGGGTACACCTGTCCCTTCTCAGCCTGGGGCTGACCAGATGATGGGGACGATGAGGTCTGATACCAAGTGCAAGAACTTTTGAAGCGCACGCTCCTTTGACCTTATGACTTTGGCTTCAACACTATACTCAAACCAGGGGTTCTTAACCCTTTTGGGAGTATCAAGATCTTTGAGAATCTGATCCACAGGAACTTCTCAGGAAAAAAAAAAATCCACATATCCACATATTCACAATTGGAAGGGATAGCCAGCTCTGCTCTAACCAAAGCCCAATGCCTAAGAATGACTATGAGGCCTTTTTCTCAATGGTCTGATGTCACAGCAATAGCAACGGAATACAGAGGGGCCAGCCCCGGGTGCTCTTTACCAACTGCCTCGGCTGTTGCCTTTGGGTGCCCATCGTGGACACCTGTGGGGCTCTAAAAGCATCCACTGCTCCAGCCTCCTCTGAGGATTCTGACTCAGTGGGCCTAAGACGGGCCCCAGTGTCCATGTTTGTTAAAAGCTCTTCAGAGGAGTCTAACAAGCAGCCCCAGTTTAGAACTATTCTGTGAACTCGAAATAGAGTGGGCAGCCTCTGTGGTGCCAAGCCAGCCAAAGGCAGGCTGGATGGAGTCATCCCGCGAGGATGACCCCTGGGCAGCTGGTGAGGGCCTGGAGCTGGCACTCAGGGGCTCCTGCCTTCCTAGCAGGAGCCGGTCTGCTGTCTCCTGCCTGCCCCGAGGCATCTAACTCGGCTGCCTGCGCTCTGCTTGTCTTCCAGCTGCTCCCTACTGGCTGGACGAACCCAAGAACCTTATCCTGGCTCCTGGGGAGGACGGGAGACTGGTGTGTCGAGCCAATGGGAACCCCAAGCCCACTGTCCAGTGGATGGTAAATGGGGAACCTCTGCAATGTAAGTAACAAGCCATTGTCCCACCTGACTCTGCTGCGTCTCCTGTCAGAGGCTCCAGGTCCCCATCCCTATGGGCCAGCCCCAGTTGTACCAGAATGAGGTTAAAGAATAGCCCCTTGGCCACTGCTTCTGGAGCAGCCCAACTCTTTGGACATCTCAAGAGGCGGGAAACCTGCCTCATTTGTGTGTGAGAACAGGAAATCTGTGCTTATGTTCCCATATTTAGGGAGCATAAAACTCCCTTGGGTTTTTCTTGAATCTTGCTTTCTGCCCTAAACAACCACACAGCTCAGTTCAAGGTCTGTGAAGAGCTGGCCTCTGAGTGGGGGTGGGGCGTGGAAGGTAGAGCAGAGCTCAGTAACCCAGGCCCCACTCTCTGCTGAGGGCAAAATGAGAGCCAGGCTGGATAGGAGGAAGAACTTCCCCCATGAGAGCAGAGATGCACTGATGCAGTTACTGGGTATGCCCAGATTTGGGGAAATTGAGTCCTGCCCTCTGGCTGGAGTAGGTGACTCCAGGGCCCCTTCTGGCCAGGGATCTCCGTCAGGTTTTCCCATCATAGTCTCTCTGGTTGCATGTACTTTATAAAATGTCCTTGTGGGTCTCTGTGAGAATACCATACACCTGCACGGTCTCCCTCCCAGTCTGTGCCCTTGCCCTGGGCACAAGCAGAGATAGGGACATTGCCTGCCCTCTGCTGTTCTCCCTGTCCCGACGGCACTTTGGGAACAAGGCCGACAAAGGCCCAGACTCCACAGCACCACTGAATAAATGCAGAGCTCAGGACTTGCAGCTGAGCCTTGGCCCTGGAAAGATCACCTGTCACTTTAGGGGAGTGGCCGAGAAGAAAGTTGGCTCCATGAGAATTGCCAGGGAAGGAGGCATTGAAGTTGCTGGCGCGGACTTCTTCATGCCTTTTTGCTGAGTGGGGACTTGGGGACGGATGATAAGGATGCTGCCCTCATCTTCATTTACCTCCTGCTGATTGCCCAGTTCCGGGCTCAGACTTGCTATCTGTGGAGTGGAGCCTCGGGGACCAGACCCGAGGTGGTCCTCTGCCCACCGCTGCTGTTGGTCTGAGCGATCCTGGATGTGTTCACAGACCATCCAAACCAAGTCACCTGGCTCAGTCCAGAAACCTTACAGAGGAAAGTCACCTTCCAGTGAAAGATGAAAAAAGTGGCGATTCTTTACATTTCTAAAAAACTTTATTTATACCGCTCGTTGTCATTCTTTTTAATAAAGCTCCTCGGAGTGGCAGAAGGATGGGAGTAATTCTCCCCCACTTGACAGATGAGGGAAATGAGACCCAGATTTATTGATTTGTCCCAGTCCCAGATTGACGTGTGAACAGGACTGAGACCCAACGGCCACTCTCCAGCCTCTGCTCTCTGCATCCCAAGCCATCCATGCTGGGAGAGCTGTGTGAGGAAATATTCTCTCTCAGTTTAGGACACATCTCTTGGGACGATCAGGTAGCTTTGGCAAATTTAAGGACTCATTCAGTTTCAACAGGCATTGGCTTAGGGGTCTCACTCTGTGAATGTTTGAAGAATGCTCTGCTCCGAGGATGGGAAGGTGGTAGGTCTCATCCAGTTGTATATTCCTTTGTCCTTTTCAAAACCTTTAAGTATAGGCACAGTCGATTAAAATAATAACAACAGTAGTAATCAGCGTGTGCCGGGCCTCTGCTGATGACTTTAGACATGCATTAAAATCTCAGGTTATCCTCATAAGAACCCTGCAAGGTGATATGTCATCCCCATTCTGCATACAACGATGCTGGAGTTCAGAGGAGCTGAATGACCCTGGCAGGTGATGTGGTTGGAATTCAAACCCCTTTCTGTTTCCACGGCTTATGCTCTCAACCACATCTGCCCATCTGTTACATAGGTCCAGCAGGAACTCACAGTCCCATTGGACAGACTGAGAAACAAACTCCGGTAGGTTTGACGATGGGCCTGAAGCCACACAGCTGGGCAGCAGTAGAGCCAGAAGCCGGGTCTCCTGGGAGCCACCCAGGGCGGCTGCTTCCACAGCACCCCAGTTGTCTTAGGGAGCCCTGGCCAGAGCCCCAAGTGCCCTCTGCCATGCTCTGCCCATTTCTCACGAGGAGCGTCTTTCCTGTCTGTAGCGGCACCACCCAACCCAAACCGTGAGGTGGCTGGGGACACCATTATCTTCCGGGACACCCAGATCAGCAGCAGGGCTGTGTACCAGTGCAACACCTCCAACGAGCATGGCTACCTGCTGGCCAACGCCTTCGTCAGCGTGCTCGGTGAGCCCTGGGGCTTGCTCCTGTCGTGGGGAGGTCAGCCAGGCTGGGAGGGGTAGGAGAGCGTGGGATGGAGGAAGCATGGAGACTGAAGATGAATTTGCCGGGGAGGGTAGGGAACTTCAGATCCATGGAGCTGGGTGTGCAGACGGTTAGTTCCATGTTGGATCATGTCTCCAGATGAGGGGGAGGGGCCTGTCTCACCCCCTCCGCATATCCAGGCCAACTCTGCCTGCGTTCTCAGTGGCCCTAGGATAGGAAGTGGTTCTGAGTACTAGGGTCACTCCTAGATCAGGGAGAGGGCGGGGGCAGCTCGGAGATGCCTTGGGGTTGTGGAGGAGCAGTTTCAGAACCCGCTAGGTGATCCGGGGAGACCCTTTGCAAAAGCTGGATTGCACGTAGGGTAGGTTGAGGGCAGACAGGTGAGCTTCCTCTTCCCTCCCCTAACCCTGGGAGGCTTCTTAAAGGAGGGAGGTTGATGGGGAAAGGGATGGGGCGCTTGGAAAGCTGCTGTGCTGCCAGGGCGCGTGGAAGCCCCAGCCAGGGTAGGGGGGTACTGGAGGAGGTAGGCTCCCCAGCCAAGGTCCGTTCTCCGGGAATTGCAGACGTGCCGCCCCGGATGCTGTCACCCCGGAACCAGCTCATTAGGGTGATCCTGTACAACCGGACACGGCTTGACTGCCCGTTCTTTGGGTCCCCCATCCCCACACTCCGATGGTAAGTTCCAGGAGACCAGCCCCACCCCCGGGAGTCCTCATTCCCCTCCGGCCCAAAATAGGTATTCAGCAAGACCAGGTAACCTTATAGGGTCGAACCTGGGAGAAAGTTGCCCGATCATCGAGGTCAGCCCCCTTACTGTGCAGAGACGAAAACTGAAGCCCAGAGAGGGCCAGAGACTTGCCAGGGCCACCCAGCAGTGGGAGGCAGACCCCTGCTCGAGGGGGCCGGTCCTCTCTCAGTGTGCTGTGTGTTCCGCTGCTCTGTTGTGAGGTTTAAGAACGGGCAGGGAAGTAACCTGGATGGTGGTAACTACCACGTCTACGAGAACGGCAGCCTGGAAATCAAGATGATCCGCAAAGAGGACCAAGGCATCTACACCTGTGTCGCCACCAACATCTTGGGCAAAGCTGAAAACCAGGTCCGCCTGGAGGTCAAAGGTAAAGGAGAGTTTCGCAGGGAGAGTGCGGGGTGGGACAGCCAAGGAAGCCATCTCCTCAAGGTGATTCCTGCGTGCCATTCCCTTTGAAAATGCTCCGCTAGTGGGGCCCTCCCCTTGGGCCTCCATTTCCTCACAGGGCTTCCAGCTAGCCTGGGTGCTGGGAGCACAAGGTCCTCTTGAGCCCAGTCCACGTGGGATTAGAAAGGGAAGTCTGGGACCCCACCCACACCCCACTACCAGCCCAGGAAGGACATCATAGATTCCCAAGCCAGAGAGAAAGGACTTGGGGATTGTTTCCTCCTTGGAATCGCCCACACCCGCCCCGCCACCATTCATATAACTGAACGTTACTTCTGCCACCTTCCGTGGCCCGTCTAATGTGCGTCGTGCCATGTGGCCACGTCGGGTGGTGGGCAGAGGCCATGCCAGTGATGAGCTCCCTCGGCTTCTCCACAGACCCTACCAGGATCTACCGGATGCCTGAGGACCAGGTGGCCAAAAGGGGCACCACAGTGCAGCTGGAGTGTCGGGTGAAGCACGACCCCTCCCTGAAGCTCACAGTCTCCTGGCTGAAGGACGACGAGCCTCTCTACATTGGAAACAGGTTTCCGCTCCTTCCTTCTCTCTTCCGGGTGCGAGTCTGGGCCCGTTTTCTTCCCCCTTGTCCTCGGTGACACACTGAAGGAACCCGGGGACCGGGAGCCTGCATCACGCGTGTCCCCCAGGAACTGCTGCGGAGGTGGCGGCGGCACCCAGCGGCTCCCCCACCCTGCGTGCTCTCTGCCTCTCTCCTTCTCTTCTTCTCCCTCTCCTCTTTTTCCCACTCCTTTCTCTCTTCCCTCACTTCTCTCCCCTCTCCCCTCACCCCTTTTCCTCCTCCCTTCCTCTTCTGCTGCGGGGTCCCCTTGGCGGGTCCCCTTGGCAGGTCCCCTTGGCGCTCCGGCCTCAGCCCCACATGCAGTGCCCCTGTTCTCCAGCAGAGGGCAGGGCCGATCCAAGCTGCCGGCCACCAGGGTGTTAGTGGGGCATCTCAGCTGAGGCACCTGGGACGCTTTTACTAGACCACACCGGCCTCCTTTGTCCAGATTTAAGTGATGTGGGGGGAGGGGAGGCACCTATCGTGTCTAAAAGTCCCGACAGGTGTCTCTAATGTGCAGTCAGTGATGGGGAGGGCTGGTCCGAGCCTTTCCCTCTGCAGGGCTCTTGGTCGTAGCCCCTCACATCTCGGGGGCTGGTGGTGCAGGGCCCTGAGGTTGGCATAAGGAACAGCTGTTTGCATGCTCATCTGGCTTTTCCAGGGGTGCACCCTGCAGGCAGGCGCAGGCATCCTTGCACTCAGTGGGTACCCACAGCTTTCGCAGCCCACCGTGCTCTGTGGTGCTCACCTCCCTCCACAGGAGACAGTTCAAAGGAGCCCAGGACATCTGGCCTGAGCCTGGGTGCGCAGACTGGCCTGGGCTGAAGGGGGAGCTGGAAGCGGGGGAAGAGGAGGGACACCAGCCTGCCTTTCGGGCGGTGGACCTCACTGTGCCTTGATTTGGGAGGGGGGCACAGCATAAGAAAGGCACGGAGGATAGACACTAGGGAGTTTGAGGACAGTGAACAGAGTCAGAGCCGCTTCTGCTTCACCCACTTGCCTTTTCCCCTCCGTCAAGCACCACAGTGCTCCAGGTAACGGTGAAGACCATGACTCTCTCAAAGCACTGGGAGGGAGACCCGTGGCCCCTGCTAGGGGCTGTGGCTGCCCTCTCGCTCGCCATCCCCACTCCAGGGAGAAAGCAGGCAGTGCCCAGGGCACCCCCCCACCCCCCCGCTGTCGGCCCGCTCGCCCTCCTCCCAACCCCTCCCTGGTGCCCTTGCAGGATGAAGAAGGAAGACGACTCCCTGACCATCTTCGGTGTGGCCGAGCGGGACCAGGGCAGTTACACCTGCATTGCCAGCACTGAGCTGGACCAGGACCTGGCCAAGGCCCACCTTACTGTGTTAGGTAACTGCCGCTGCTCACGCGTGCTCTGACCTCCCCCCACCCCACCCCTCCCCGAAACTTGCCCAAATCCTCAACGGATGGGTGAGCGAGAGAGGGAAGGTGGACGGGGGTTCTTCTTGTGATCATTTTGACCTCTGTACCAGTTAAAAGAATCCATTGTTGAAGCAAGACTGCATTTTGAGTTTGTCCCGCCAGCACCCTCGGCTAGCCTCCCTCTCCGTGCCACCCCGCTCCTGTTTCCTGATGGGCTTTTATAGGGCGCTCTGCTCTGAGCAAACTGATTCTGTCATGTCCTGCCCATGTCTAAGCCAGACTGTAAATACTGAGCCATCCCAACGCCAGGGGAGGACAGTCTTGCCCATCCAGGGACGCACACCCCCTGCCGTGCCCTCCTCACCTCTGTCCTCTCTCTGGGCATCCTGTTGCCATTACCGTTGGTACACTCCATCTCTCCGGTGGCAGCAGCGCACGGTCACTGGGGATGGCGGTCCCAGGCACACAGTGGCATTGGGATGGGGAGGAGACAAGTCCCCCCCTCCACCCCGCCAGCCGTGGAGGAAGCACAGGGGGTTTCTCCATGGAAGCAAAGGTGAAGCTGTGCCCAGTACACCTCTGCTCGGGGCAGCTGTTCAACCCTCAGCCACCTACTCCCATCCTTCTAGAACACCTGTAACCCTGGATAACTTGTTAACCCGGATAACCCGTCTTACCTTGCAGCTGATCAGGCCACTCCAACTAACCGTTTGGCTGCCCTGCCCAAAGGTAATTCATACTAATCACAGGACCCCTGCCAAAGCCCTCTCTAGGTGGCTGGGGGGTGGGGTCTGAGGACGAACGTGCTGCAGGACAAGACGTACCGTGTGGAGGCCACTCGCTGCCAAATCTGATTCCTTTCAAGGGTCGGGCCCCTCACCTCGCAGCCCTGCCACAGCCCCACTCGGGCTTCCTGCGCCCTTCATAGGCTGGGCTCGGAAGTCCTTGGAAGCCGATCCATCCCATCCCTTACTTCTGGCTGCACTCACCACTTCCTTGTGGGGGCCTGTTCTCTCTCCCCAGCTTTGGCCTCAGAAATATGGAGGTCCAGTCGGGAAAGCCCAATCACCTCAGATTACCTGTAGGCCCGTCTTGTTTGCAGCCTCCCCGAGTCTGCTGCTGCACACCCCTTCACAGTCTGCATTCACACGCGTGCACACGTACACAAATGTGGGTTCACACGACCTACCTTCCAGATCCTCCCAGTAGCCAGCCAGAGTACCAAAATAACTGGTTCAAGCAGCCGGGATGGGGAGACATCCCACGTACCCCACTAGGCAGAGGTGAGGTGGCCTTATCCCCAGGCCAGGATGGCCCTTACACCCACTGAGGAAGTCCAGTGAGACTGGAGCCCCCGAAGGTGCTGCCCCAGCCCTGTGTGGACGCTTGCTGCGGCTCCTCTATCCTGCTGTCCATCACTGAAACTCAGTCCCTATGTTCTCCCTGGCCTGGTCCTCTGCCTCTATCCCTCCCATGCTCCTAACTGGTCTGCCTTGCTCAGCTCCAAGCACGCCCCTGGGCTCCTGCCCCCTCGAAGCCTTGGCACATAGAGTAGAAGGCAATCATCCCGAGAAGATGAGACCAAATCCCGCACTTCCTCACCAGCCTCCCTACAGGTGGCAAGCATGGGTCTCATGAAAAGGGCAGTGTTTTCCAAATGCTCACCCCCTAAGAACAGCCACAGAAATGGGATGGGTTGGTCCTGGTTCTCTCTGTGCCCTACCTACATCCTTTCATGCTTTTCTGGGGGGGGGGGGGAATTTGAAGTCTCCTCTTTGTTCTTCCTCAGCTCCCTGAGGGAATGGGGTGGTCCCTGTGCTGACCCTGCCAGGCAGGCCAGGGCTGGTTCCTGCGGGTGCTGACCTCGGCCCGTCAGGGACCTGTCACAGGGCAGTGTCCAAGGCTGGGGCCAGCACAGGGACAGGCTGGCTCTAACTGGGGAGTCCCGCGTGGTGTCTTCTTCCTCTGCTCCCAGGACGGCCAGACCGACCCCGGGACCTGGAGCTCACGGACCTGGCCGAGAGGAGCGTGAGGCTGACCTGGATCCCAGGGGATGATAACAACAGCCCCATCACAGGTCAGCCAGGGGCCCTGCGCTCAGTCCAGAAAAGAGGGATGGATGGCAGCCTGGTTTGTGGTAGCAGCCGGAGGCCTTGCCCCGGTTTCTGGTCCGGCTCCCACCTCACCTGACGCGTGCCCCGGGTGATTTGCAGAGCACATGCAGGCCTTGGTTCCCCTCTCCATGTCCGGGGAGGACTTCTCCCTGTGCCTTTGTCCACCCAAGGGGGAGTGTAAAGACTAGCGGCAACCATGCGGGAGTACGCTGCAGAACTCCGCTACCTCAGCTCCCAAACAGCACTGTCTTCCCTGCCCACTCAGACTACGTCGTCCAGTTTGAAGAGGACCAGTTCCAGCCCGGGGTCTGGCATGACCATTCCAAGTTCCCGGGCAGTGTCAACTCCGCCGTCCTCCAGCTGTCCCCATATGTCAACTACCAGTTCCGGGTCATTGCCGTCAACGAGGTGGGCAGCAGCCATCCCAGCCTCCCCTCCGAGCGCTACCGGACCAGCGGGGCGCGTGAGTACCCGAGGGCTGACGGCCAGCGTGCTGAAGCCAGGTGCCCCAAGGCCCCACTGAGTTCCCCCAGTTCCTGGCCACGTGAGCGTGGGCGGGTCACTTAACCGCTCCAAGGCTGGGCTTCCTCAGCTGTAAGACAGGGAATGATAGCAACACCGCCTCCATCACGGGGCTGTCGGGAGGCTTGGGTGTGAAAATGCTGTTTGGGTACCTCCCGTGGTGCCTGGCGTGTTGTAAGCACCCAGCCAACGCTAACTGTGGTTATTATTACTAATAGCCTTAATAATTCTTGGTCATCTGCTTGAAAGGGAAGTGCTATGGCAAAGATTTGCAGTAGAAATATATAAGCTGGTGTTATGGCAGATTTCTTTTCCTATCACGCTTGGATAATGTGTAGATTTCCGAAAATATACCAGCCCATTGAGAGTGGAGCTGCTCCCCCAAAATGAATGCTGGGGATAAACCGGTCTGGTATTAAACTTATTGAGTGGATAATCCATGAAGGGGATAATTAACCCACATTGAGTTGGCTGTCAGGACCACCCAAAGTATGGAAAGCCTTATGATAAATGCTGTCTAGTGAGGGATTAAAATTCAAAAGAAATTAGCCCTGCTTGGTGGAGGGGGGAAAAGTTCCGTCTTAGGGAGGCACGTCCTCCTCATGAGAAAGCCAAAGAACGAGTTCGGTGGCCTAGGGGATAGTGTGCAGAGAGACGCTGAGGGAAGACAGCCACAGAAGGGGCTGGTCAGCTAGAAGGGAGGGGGGTTGCTCACTGTGCCCACAACACACATCGGGCTTGAACTTTGCGTCCCCTTGGGTTCCAGCCCCCGAGTCCAATCCCGCCGACGTGAAGGGAGAAGGCACCAGAAAGAACAACATGGAGATCACGTGGACGGTAAGGGTCCCTCCCAGCCCGCCTCTCAATGGGCCTGTTCTCTTGGCCTTGAGCACCTGGGAGTCCTTTTGCTCTTTACACCCCTGAGGCCCCAAGGCCACTCTCTGCACGGACATCCAGGGACAAAACAGGAGCATTGTCGAAGAGCAAGATTTCAGACAGGAGACGGGAGCAGAGATGACCGAGGAACATAGACAGCTAGTCTGGCAAAATCAGAGAGTACCAGCCAACGAAAATGGACTTCTCTAGGGGAAGGAGGGGTCTAAAAAAGATTTAGCCTAAACATTGGTGCCTAGTGTTGGTGTGTTCTGGGGTCCTCCCACTGGAGATGGTTGGGGGTAGAGAGGAGACCAGCACTCAAGCTGCTTTGAGGGCAGGCTTTCTTTTAGTCCAGGAATGAACGAGAGGATGTAAAAGCTTCTCTCTGGGCCAGGACTGAAAAAATTCCCATCTTCATCTGGGCTCACTGACTGTTTTCCAAACCAGAATTGGGATATGTGGTCTCAAAATGACTTTTTTTCTAAACCAATTCCAAGTCTGAGAGACGCACATTCAGCCATGGAAATACTAACATTTCTGTGCTGTCGCCATGAGTAACAGAGAAGCAGGGAGCTACAACGTGTGGGATCATGGCTGTCCCCATCTTTGTGAGGGCCCAGTCTCACAGCAGCCTGGGTAGCTGGGCTGAGCCCAGATCCAAGACACCAGGGCTCATCTTCAGGACCTTGCAAGGACCTGCTCCTGGTCTACAGCTCTGTAGAGGACGGCTTCGGGGACTAGGCCCTTAGGAAATGAAGACCAGAGCTGCACCCACCCTTAGCTGCTGGGCAGGACAGGACAAGTCACGCATGGATTCAGTAGAACCCAAGCCAGTTCTGGAATTTTGAGTCCATTGGCAGTAAGCATGCTGTGGCTAAACCAAAACTCATCCCTCTCCAACGTTAAAGAATATTCTATGATTTTCTTGTTTTGTTCTGCTTACCGATCAGTCACAGGAAAGTCCTGTTGAAAATAAATCTTTGGCTCCCTGTGCACTTACAAAGGTGGGTGGCTCTGGGAGTCAGAGTGACTAGGTCTCGGGTGAAGCCTTTGTCACAGAAAATCTACAGGCTGCTGAATTCATAAGACTCTGGGCTTCGGGGGACTCAGTGTGAGGGTGGCATGCTCTCCCAGTGCCGCAAGGGGGCCAGTGCTGGGCAGATCGGGGCAGGGTGCCTGGCACAGAAGGAGAGTGCAGGCTGTGGGTGGGTGTGGGCTCCACCCCTGCCCTCAATCTCTCCCTGCTCAGCCCATGAACGCCACCTCCGCCTTTGGCCCCAACCTGCGCTACATCGTCAAGTGGCGGCGGAGAGAAACTCGAGAGACATGGAACAACGTCACAGTATGGGGCTCCCGCTACGTGGTGGGGCAGACCCCTGTCTATGTGCCCTATGAGATCCGAGTCCAGGCCGAAAATGACTTTGGGAAGGGCCCTGAGCCAGACACTGTCATCGGTTACTCCGGGGAAGATTGTGAGTACCCTCCCCCGTCCCCGAGCAAGGATCCTCACAGCCGGGCTGCACAAAGCCAGCCTCACAGACCAGGAACCTCAGGGTGGGTCATGGGACTGCCAAGAACATCCTGGGAGGACAGCCGGTTCCCAGGAAAGAGAAATCCCCTATGGTGACCTCGGGCAAACAGGCCCCTGTTAATGTCAGGAGCCAAAATGTCATCACCCGAGCGCTAGTTAGCATTACTGAACAATCATCGCCTGGTCCAATACTCCCATTTTACGGGTGTGAAAACAGAGACCCTGCAAAGGAACACCCTTGCCAATATTACCCAATGCTTGAAAACAGAGGCCAGGCCTTCTAATCTACCTTAATGCCAAGCCTTGCTAGTGCCAAGACTTCAGGACTGTCCCTCCCAAAGAGCCATAATTAGACTCCTCCACAGGAAGCAGGGCCACAGGCCAGACTCCTCCTTGGCTCCCCAGGGGAGACCTGGAGAAATAGAGAAGAGCCCCAGACTGGAATGATCCAGACCAGCTACCTGCTGGCATCCCCGTGTTGCTCTTAACCCTTGGAATTGAGCACACAAAGAGAAGTTCTTTGGAGGCTAGCCTCGGTAAATCAACAAGATTCTGGGCACATATGTGGAAGTATCTGCCTGGCTTTTAAGATGGTGGCAGCCTCCCTCTTCCCAGCACATCGATCAGTAGGCTGCTGAGCAAAGCAGGAGGGTCAGTGGAGCTCCTCCCGGTCAGGGTGACCCAAGAAAAGATCATTTAGGCGGATGGGGTGACCAGAAGGCAAGGAGGAGGAGAGTCTTAGGGAGTTGCAAAGGCCAATGCCGGGGTTAAGAGTAGGGCCCGTGTTGTGCATGACAGACGGGAAGAAGTGAGGGGTGGGCCCCATGCACTGCTTTCCTGGAGGTGATTATGGATTGGACCCACTGGCAAATAAGTGGGTGGTATCAGCAGACTCTCTGCCCATCCTGCTGCTTGTCTTGTGGTGGCAAACACTTCCAGACAGGAGACTGGCAGGAACTACCAGCTGGTGAGTATGGAATGAGCAGTGTCTAGTCATGGACTTCGTGGACCCGCCCACAGTTTCCGTGGCGCCTGCCGTCTCCCCCGGGCCTGTGCTCTGCTGGATGCGAGGGGTGGGGCAGAGTTCTTCTGCAGCAGAGTGCAGAAAATGGGGGCGAGAATCCGTTCTGGGGGAGGGCGTGGGTCTCCCTCTTCAGGGAGTCAAGGATCGGAACCCACTCCTGAACGAGGTTAGGGCATCTTCAGCTTGTAGCTGACGTTTCCTGCAGGGTCCTAATGGGAAATGAGTGTCGCTCAAAGGGGACTATCTCTAATGTGAGGACAGAGTTCGAGGGAAAACAGCAAGGTATCAGAAATCACCCAGAGGCCTAACAACAGCAGGACCCCAGTGCAACCTTCCGAGCCTTGAAGGGGCAGCAGACGGGGGAGTTCCCACGACCAAGGGGTAGAACCTTGGGTAACAAAGTGCAATGCTGCCAACCTGCAGCCCCACAGAGAGGCGGCCAGGGACTAGGTACCCACCCTCCATCTCCTCCTGTTGACCTTACCTATTGAGCAAACCCATCCGTGGACCTGTGAACAGGGGGCCAGCCCACACAGTCCAGAGAGGGCAGCCTGCTGGGACACAGAGCAGGTGGAGAAGGGTAGCACATGGGGATGGAAGGGCAAACAGAGGCTACCCAGCTGGGAGGATAGCAAATAATTGCCCTCTAAACATGGAGGCCGATCCCTCCCACCCAGATGGCCGCCTTTTTGTCCGGCCCTTCCCCCATCCCCCCCAAGGGCCATCTCCTGGAACAGTCCTAGCCCCTGCCCTCATGGAGTACCCTGTGTCCAGAGTGGGGTGGAGGCACCAGCCAGCAGAGAATAAGTGTGAGGAGACCCTAGACTCCAGGGGCCAGCCCCGTTTGCTTAACTAGCTCTCTGTCCCAACACATTGCAGATCCCAGGGCTGCACCCACTGACGTTAAAATCCGAGTCCTGAACAGCACAGCCATCAGCCTTCAGTGGAACCGCGTCTACCCCGACACGGTGCAGGGCCAACTCAGAGAGTACCGAGTGAGGAAACCAGCTCTCAGCCCTGCCTAACCACCCAGCTTGCTAACCAGGGCAAGGGGGTAGCAGATGCGGGCCATAGGCTACTTGGAAGGGGTCCTAGGGATAGTTGTTGGATCCAGAGTAGATTCAAGAAGATGATGTCTAGTATTAGTTGTTCAAAAATACACCCAGGAAAAAAAATTATTTGTATATATCCAGGTGTGTTCTGCAGCAGATATGCTGAGAGATTCTACTCAGCAGAAAATCACACGGAGGGTGGTGGGTTTGGGTTGATGCTGTATATGGCATGTTATGCTCATAATACATGTGTGAGCAGACACACACATGGATCTTAGGAGCAGTGTTGAGGCACCACTGAGCTACACCCCTCCCCTCTCTTAATGGCCCCCACTGGGCTGCTTGCCTCACCCAGTCTGGTTTCATGAAACCTTCACTAACAGGCAGAGCCACCAAAAGGTGTAAACATCTTCCCGGTTGTCGCAGCCAACTCCGGATTACCTGGCATATGGATTATCGAGGCCCTTGGCTTCTCCTGGTCTCCCTGCCTGCAGGCAGTTTCTGCTCACGTATCTCTCCTCTTGGCAAGGGCGAGCTGAGGCAGGCAAGGGGGAGAGGAAACCAGGCCACTCTAGGCTCTCCCTTACACGTAGCTTCATCTAAAACTTGTCTGGGAAGTGACGGCAGCTGTAAGCATGGGATACTGCAGGTTCTGTGACTTAGAGGTCATTGAGAGTTGGCTGATGGACAATTGTGGGCAGAATGGAGGGGATCAGTCTCTTTGGGGATGGGAATTCAGTAGGTAGGGGAAGGAAGGCAAGAAGATGTATACACTTGAATGAGCTCTTCCCCAGCACTTGCACCCTTAACCTACTTGCCTGGAGATTTTTCTGGCTAAAGCTCCCACTGGGTCTGCTTCTTAAGGGGTCCCCTTCTTAAGTGTGGACTTCCGCCTTCCTTTGCTGTTGGAGGCCCAGGTGGCGCTGGTATGGCAGCCTGACCTGGGCCTTCTTACATATTGCTAACCGTACCTTGTGTCCCAAACTCTCTCGACTCTACCCCTAACACCACCACCTTCTGAAGGCCATCCCATCCAAGCTCTTGCCACCAGGCAGCCTGGTGTCCACTGACCTGGACATGTGTCTAGCCCATTCTAAAGGTCTTCAAACAATTTTAAAAGAAACCGTTTGACTTCAAAGGATTAAATCAACTCCCCTATTCAGACTTCTGAGGGTAACCTGCTCCTTTTCAACTCCTGCCTACTGCCGATCTAAACCATACTAATCCAACTCAAGGCGATGTAGCCTTTGAGCCCAGAAGAGAGCTTTCCATGCCTGGACCCTTGTTCCCCAGCTTGGAAATAAGTGTCCGCTCCATCAGTAACTTTGGCCAACTTGCCTATTTCCCAGAGAGCTCATGGGGCTCAGAAAATGATCGAACCCCAAGCCCCTGTTTCCTGTTTGACGTCAGTTGGTCCTCGCTAGGGGCTAATGAACAGGGCCTCTCGGGCCGCTCCCCCAGCCCTAGGCGGGGCTGCTGAGGGCATTCGGGACTTGGAGCCTGTGGCAAGCAAAGCGAAGACCAGTTACCACCACGGGCACTAACAACTAACCCAGCTCCGCCTGCCCGACCCCTCACCGGCCCCGCCTCTGTCCCGAAGGCCTACTACTGGAGGGAGAGCAGCTTGCTGAAGAACCTGTGGGTGTCTCAGAAGAGGCAGCAAGCCAGCTTCCCTGGTGACCGCCCCCGGGGCGTGGTGTCCCGCCTCTTCCCCTACAGTAACTACAAGCTGGAGATGGTTGTGGTCAATGGGAGAGGCGATGGGCCTCGCAGTGAAACCAAGGAGTTCACCACCCCGGAAGGAGGTAGGTCTGACCTGCAGCTCTTCGGGGTGGGGCAGGACAAGGGCAGCACAGCCAGGTGGGTCCAGAGCAGCCCCATCGGGCCTGGGCCCGACAGCACAAGGTGACCTCTGCGTGACCCCAAGGCGCTGAAGTCCTGCGAGCCGAGCAGCTCCTGCCATTCCCAGAGTGCCCCATCACCGGGGTGGCCTGTCCTGACAGGACGTTGTATCTCAAGAGAAGACCTGGGCCGCCTGCTGACAAAATTCCAGATGGGCTGGCAGACTGGCATTCTCCCTCCCCACCCCCCGCCAAGGGCACTGCGGGAGCCCGGGCCACCCCCACGTCTGGAGGCCGAAGCACGGTCACCCTGACCACCAGAAGCACCCGGCTTGTTCCCCAGCACCCAGGACCTTCATTCAGAATTCTCTCTGCACTGTGATCCAGAAGCTTCTGTTGGGACAGCTGGCCCGCGTGCGCGGCAGCCCTGCAGGGGGCGCCCTGCCTGCTGCTGGTTCCAGGTCCCCCTGGGCCTGGGAGGCAGACGCTTGTGAAGTTCACCACGTCCTCCTTTATCAGCCCGGCGTTGGCTTTGCCCTCTTCTGTTTCTCCTCCTTCCCTTCTTAACCGCTTTCCCCCCATTTTTCTTCTCTTCCTCCTTCTTTGTTCTTCCCTCCTGTTTTCTTTATTCCTATCTGTCCCGCTCCCTTGTTTTGCTTTTCGCCTCCAGCCTCTCCCCATCGCCCCCGCTCCTGGTGCTCTGTCCATGAGTCCCATCTTGGGCTTCTTTCTCCTCACCCCTGAACCCCGCATTCTCAGCCCGGAAGCCTGGGCCTGCTGCTGGGCCCCAGGGTGAGACTCCTCGTCTGAGGACTGGGAACCCCATCCTCTGTGCCCACAGCTCTGGTTGGTTCCCTGCTGGCTCGAAGGCATCTTTGCAGGGGCAGAGCCTAACGTGTGCTGAATCCACGGTAGTTGCTAAAGGCAAACCTGACTGATTTCTTCCCCCATTTAAACGGAGTCTGAGCCACGCTTGTCCTAAACAGGGTGAGGGGAACAGCATCCTGGATGGGGCAAAGGGCTCTGGCCCCCCCCTGTGGTTCTCCTGGATTCTGGCTTAGCAGCTGTCCAGCATGGGGCTTGCCCCGAGGTCACTGCCTTCATACTTGTGCTTTGTTTTTTTGTGTTTCCTCATCCTGCCTCCGCCCTCCCCTTCTTTTCCCCTGCCCTCTCCTCCTTCCCCAAGTACCCAGTGCCCCCAGGCGTTTCCGAGTCCGGCAGCCCAACCTGGAGACAATCAACCTGGAATGGGATCATCCAGAACACCCCAATGGGATCCTGATTGGATACACTCTCAAATACGTGGCCTGTACGTTCTTCCCTTCTTTCTCTTAATCCGGGATTCAGAAACCCCCTTCTCACCCTTTCACTAAGGAATCGAGGTAGAAAGCCTATGGGTGCAGAATGATGGAGGTGCCACGGAGAAAGTTCCCCAGAGGATTAGGGGAGGCAGGTGAGACCCAGCCCCCTGCTCGCCTGACACAGCTCCTTCTGCAGGGAGCTTCTGGTTGGTCCGTGAGACAAAGGGAACTTCTGGTCTAATGAGGGATTCAAGCCCGGCCCCTCGAGGATCTTAGAGTCTCCAACACATACAAGTGAGTCTAGGAAAGACAGTTGTGCACCTCATCCGATGGGGTAGACTACATGCAAGGGAATTCACACAACACTCAGGGACGCTAAATAAGGTGTCATTTATGGTAAGGCGGCTTGTATCTAGAAGGATTTGGTAGGGGACACCTCACTGAAAGAGCTTAGTGTCACCCTGCGAGGACATGCGTGTGGTTACATTTGAAAAGCCTCTAAAGTAGACGGTGCTGTACCTTGGTGGGGAGCTCAAAGGGCCAGGTGCTGTGTTGTTCACGATTTTAGCAGCCAACTGTGTCCTTATATGCCGTTCCGAGTGATCTCTGGACCTGACTGTCCCCCTTTGAGGTATCCTGAACAGGCCTTTTACAAAGGAGGCATTAATGATCAAAAGCTCTAGTGGTTTTGCCCTAGTTCTGTTTGAAAGGAAGAAAGGACCTCAAAACTTTTGTCCTTGTTGAAAAGGCCTGGGGATTATAAACTAAATCTTTCAGAATCAGCCACATAACTTTGCAGTGAGCTGGAGATAATGAGATCGGTGAAAAAGCCTTGACACTGGTGTGTCATTGCAGAGCTGGGAAGTTCTTGCCCAGGGCTCTGCCCTTGAACGCCAGTCTCCCATCCCCCCGGGTCACTAAGGCCCTGGGGCAGGCTCCACTGGAAGGCTTTCTCCTTCCAGCTGCAGATTATATAACCCATCATGGTCAATGCTGCTGAAGTTCAATTTCACTTACCTATCTCTCCCCAGTTAATGGAACCAAATTAGGAAAGCAGATAGTGGAAAACTTCTCTCCCAATCAGACCAAGTTCACGGTGCGAAGAGCAGACCCCGTGTCGCGCTACCGCTTTACCCTCAGTGCCAGGACGCAGGTGGGCTCTGGGGAAGCAGTCACAGAGGAGTCACCGGCACCCCCGAACGAAGGTAGGTGCATCACAGCAGCCTTGGGGGTGGAAGGTCCCGGCTAATTCCGATGCCTAGAGAAACACCCTGACCTGGCCTTCTGGCCAGACGGCCTTCTGGGATGGAGAGAAAATAAGGCTGCGGGTCCTCCAGCCCCCCAGTAGGATACAAGAGATCCCATCTCCTATGCTGAGAGGTAGGTGCTGACGATGTATCTGGAAAACTCAGATCTTCTTAGACGATTGCAGTCAGACCTGATCGCCACTTTGCCTTGACTTGCCCGGCTACCCAACATCTATCATCTGTCCTCCTGCGGGGCGGGGGGTTAGAAATAGAGCCTAAGTCCATAGTAGAGATGACATGAGGGAAAGCATGTGCGAGGTAAACGTGCTAATGAACTTCAGAGAATCGCGGCAGTGTTCGCCCATCAAGAGGGGCAGCAGGGTTACTAAGGGTGCCTGGGGAGGGCTCTGGGAGCTCCCTTCTCCCGAGGGCACATGGAGCCAAGGAGGGAGGGAAGCAGCCTTGATTGAGGCTACCTGCCAGTATCATGAGCAGAGCCGGATGTGTCATCCCTGCTTGCAGCCTGAGCTGGTGGGGTGTCAGGCTGTGGGGAGGGGGGGTGTTGGGAAACAGCCACTGGCCAAGCTAGCTTCCCCAAGAGCAAATGCACTCAGCTCTTGGCTCCTGGCATCTTCCCAGCCACGGAGCATCCCCACCGGCGTGCGCCTGCCCAAGAAGTCCACTAGGGGGGACTCCAGGCCCGTTTGTACCCGTGCTGGCGCCCAGAAGCTCCACGATACCAGGCTTTAGAAGCCTAGATATTGGCAGGCGCCCTACCGAAGGAGGGGACCCCTGCCTCTTCGGAGGTGCAGTGGTGTATTCAACGGCCATTTCCCGAGCACATGCAACATGAGGTGCTGGACACTGCGCCAAAAACCAAGGGATAAGGTCTAGAAGAGGAGACATCCACAAGAGTATCTCCTTGCTGTTCAACATGAGGAATGTTAGGTTTAGCTGAGGCAGGTGCAGTGGCTGGGCAGAGGCTGGGCGGAGGAGGGGTCCGTTCTGCAAGGGAAGAGGCAGTGTGACCTGGGATTCTAGAAGCAGATAACAGGTTACTCTGTGCGGTGCTTGTCCCAGAAGGCTGAGGTCCGACGGCCTGACTCTGGCCCAGATTGGACCTCCTGAGCACCTCCTCCCCACCCCAGGAGAGCTTCAGGGCTTCCTTCACTGGCGCTGCCAGTCATGCTGCCGGGGCTCCCAGCTCAGCTTCAGAGCTGCCCTGCCTCCCCTCCCCAGCCCTGCCTCCCCCAGCCCCCCAGGGCCGGCAGGCCGGTGCTGAGGCAGGCGGGAGCAGGGACAGGCAGAAACTAGAAAAAGGCTAACGGTCCTTCTCTGGTCTTGTAAACCAGGCGTGAGCCACTCAATAAGCTCCCCTCCTAGTGTGCTCATCAACCCGCCTGGGTGTTCGGGCAGTTTATTAGGGCTGGGGGACTTTGGGTAAGTGGCTGATAATATGCCTCTTACCAAAAGCCTGGCCAGACAGGGGATAGTGCGCTTTCTGATTCCTTAATTCTAGAAGGAGAGACATAGAGAGAGCCTCTTGCCCCTCCCCATCCTGAGCCCAACACAGAACATCAGATCAACAAGTACCCCATTGTCCAGCCCTAGTGACCACCACAGGGTACGTTCTGGGGCCCCAGGGGACAAGAAGACAAAGGGAGACTTTCTTTGCCATTTAGGGGTTTGCACTAAATTCAGGGATTCTTTTTAGGGCTCCCAATCCACAGTTGGGTTTCTTATTTCATAAAGTACAGCTGGTGGGAAAAAACTGGGCAGCAGACCCTCCAGGCAGGGACCTCAAGGCCTGCCATCTGTGACAGCTCCCGGGCCTTCCAAGGCCGAGATGGTGTGGGAGAGGGTTCACGAAATATGCTCACCCCTCCTCCATCCACCCCAACGCTACTCACCATCTTCCCCCAAAGATACAGGAACCATCCTTTTGACTGGACTTGGCGTCCTCCTATGCCACCTACACCTTATGCCCTCAATTCTTGGCACCCTGAAAGGTCACCCGGCCTGCTCATAAAGATCAGCCCGGCTATGGAAGGACACACTCTTGGGGAAAGACCTGGAAACAAAAGCACTCTAGGTAGACCGTCCCTACGGCCACCCCTTAGATGATAGTCTTTGAGTGGAGGTAGAATCAGAGTATATTAGAAAGGTCTCCAAGATTCGGGTGGAAAATTTTCTGTAGGAACATACCAGACCCCCCATGGAGCTGACCACAAACCCTGGACACCAGTCAGCATCCTCAGGGCAGTAGCCAGTACCTGGCCACACTGTCTGGGTCAGGTTTGAGCCAGACGCTTCTCTGCTTGCTTGTCCTGTGGTTTCACCTGTGCTCTGTTTTGTCTTCCCTCTCTCATCCTTTCTCCCTCTCTCTGGCCATCTTGGGCGCTGTGTTCTGAAGCTACTCCAACTGCAGGTACCGTACCAGCAGCAGAGGTAATGGGCATGGCATGGGACAATGCAGGTGGAGCCCAGCCCAGCCAGGGTGGAGAAGGAGGGAGAAGCTCGGGATGAAAGCATGCTCCAGACTTAACCTTTCAGGGGTTGGGAAGCCAGACTGTCAAGAGGGATGTATGAGGAGGACGGGACCAGAGGAGCTCAAACCCTCCCCCTCTTCCCTTCACATACCCTTGGCCCCCCTCGGATGGCTTAGGAGGGGCCCCCACACACACATGGGCTTCAGACCTAGCCTCTGCACCTGCAGCTTTCTTGGAAGCCGAGTGATTCCTTCCCCGGACTGACCTGGGCCCTTGCCTAGTTTTGACATCTCGGAGCGCAGGGAAAGGATCTGCAGCCCTTGGGTGGCCGGCCGTGCCCCTTGAAGGAATGCTGTACCATGAGTGGAGGGAGCTGGCTCCTGTCTTCTGGTCAGGCTGCCATCCCCTGAAAGGGTGACCTATGGGGGAGCACACTGTGCAACGCTGTGCATGCTGACCACGCTTGCTGCATGGGGGCCCAGCACCAGCGCTGCCATCTACCATGGGTTCTGGTCAGTGACCATGAGTGAGCTTGTCCTTGGATAGGGCCAGGTGCTCCAGGACCTGGAGTCTTAGTGGGCACCATGGGCTGATTGTTCCCTCGCCCCTTAGAAACCTAGCTCCTCAGAGTCTTCAGCATGAAGAACAGCCTCCACTCTCGGGGTCTGGGAGGTAAATGCATAGCAGCAGTGAGGGGTGGGCGGGCAGGTCCCGGCTTAGGAAATGGCCTGCTCATCACAGTCCTCTCAAGCCCTCATGTTGTGGGTTCGAGGACACCAAAGGGTGTGTCACCGCAGAAGGCCTATCCTCAAGCTGGAGGCGCTAGGCAGGGAACCCCAGGGTTCCTTCCCCTGTCCTCCACTGATGCTGAGGGCAAGGCTCACCCTGGCAGAGCAAAGGCTAGGGGGCAGGGGACCACTAGAAGCTCTGGGCAGCGGGGAGGACTGAGAAGCAGGTGAGGAACCGGAGGGGTGGCTTGTGAAGATGACGGCCTGATCTGGTTTCCTCCCGCCCCCATTTTAGGTTGATTCTATTTCTGTTGCACACCCTGCTTCCTTCAGTTTGTGTTTGTGCTGCCAGATCTGTGGGTGGTGCGCAGTCATCATCCTTCCGTGTCCCCACCCCTCCAGCTCCCCATCCCCCCTCCACATCATCACCAGGCTGGTGGGTCCCAGTGCCTCCCCACAGGGCCCGAGCACCTCCGCCGGGGTATGAGGTAGAGAGATGTCCTGAGCCTGGGGACTGTGGAGAAAGCCATCCTTGTACTCCAGGGGCTGCCCTGGCTTTCCGATGCAACTTGGCACATGGGTCTCTTTGGAACTATTCTAGCAGGTGCTCAGGGTAGCCTAAGCAGGCTTAGTGAACATAGAAGGTGGAGACACAGGACACCAAGAGAATCCTCTGGAAGCTCATTGGTCAAGCAGCTCCCAGCCTGCCTCCCCCTTTCTGGCACCCTGGGACCCAAGGCAGGTGGGTCGGGTAGCAGGGAGTCCGCCTTGCTCAGCGAGCATCTGAGCCAGCCTGGGCTGCCCCTCTCATGAGTGGCACCTGCGAGGGAGAGGTGATCATTCCAAACCCCCCACCTTCTGCCACCCATTTAGAAAAGATCCAAGCCCATCATGGCATGCACCATGTGTGCACGGTCGCTGACCCTCGATCAAATGTGCTTCCTGGGCGCCAGCTTCCCTGTGACATGGCGGTAGAGGCACCGTGCACATCTTTGTAGATGAGATGTGCTCATGGCTTCGGCTGTTCTCAGCTGTGAATCCTCAAGAACCTTCTGCACAATCTGCAGGTGCCAAGCAATGGAGCCCAGGTTCGACACTTCTGACGTGGGTCTGTTGTCCAGCCCACTGCTCCCTTCCCTCTCCTCTTCCCCGAGCCTGGGAGTTTTTTCCCCACACTACTCTGTTCATATTTTACCCGCTGAAAATAATCCCTCTCGCACACCCGTGTCTGTAGCCTCTCAGGATGGCTGCCCATCTGGCCTGGCCATCTGTGGTTTGGCCAGGGTAGTCCATGCGCCATGTGGCCATTTTTGGACTGAACCTTCCACCTTGGAATGTCTGGAAACTGCTGGCCTCCTCTGTGACTCAGATTGGCAAATGTTTGCTGGGCAGCTCCGTGGCAGGTACTGGGGTCAGGAAGATGAATAAGACAAGTCCTCTCTCCTCAATTTTCTCCATCTCTTCTGTGGTGTTCCCTGAGACTCTGGTGGCAAACCCTCAGGCACGGCTGGGGTGCCTTCCAGTGTGCATGAGGTAACCCATTAGGCTGACATGGCCATTGGGTAGGGGTGCTGTGCTTCCAGCTCCAGGCCCACCGTGCCCACCCCCCCCCCACCCCCCGCTTCCTCTCAGTTGCCAGGCAGGTGCTCTCCATCGATCATTGACCAGGGTGGTTCTCCAGCCCATAATTCCTGCTTTAATTGGAGATGACATCCGAGCTCAGCGACGTGCCTGTCCAGCCTGTGAGCCTCTCTGTCTCTAAGCCCTTTGTCCCCTTCTGTCCTCTACCCAAACCCCACCCCAGGGGATGAAATCCTCTGGGTCCCCTGTGACCTGAGCACCGGACAGTTTCCCCATGGAAACCTGCCTTCCCCTCTCGCCTATGTGAGCCTCCAACAACTCACTCCCCTGACTCAGAGCCTTTCCGTCTCGCCTCTGCCCTCCCTGTCTCCCCGTCTCCCTATCTCCCTGTCTCTCTTGTCCTGTCCAGCCATGGGACAATAGACACAGCTAATGAGTGGGTCAGAGAGAGCATTGTTTTTCCATCTGTGACCTCAGCCAGCTGAGGCTGCCACCTCCACAGTGACTCCAATGGGAGGACACTAGGGAAGCCACTCCTTGCCTCCTGTTTCCCTCTTACTGATACCCCTAAACTTTTGGAGCTTTGAGATAGGGCTGGAATGTGGCCGCTGAGCTGAAGGAAAAGCGGTTAGGTGGCCGTCATCAGAAATGCTTCCTTCTTGGCACGTTTGGCAGAAGGGACCGTTGGCGGGGGACGGGCAAGACTGAGAAGCAGCCTCGAAGTCATTTCCCATTATTGTCTCTGACCAGCAGGGCCCAGGAAAAAAGTCACCCTAACCTAGCTTCTCTTAGCATCTCTGTTCCCAGGGCTGCTCACTGGAATGCACAGGGAAGCGTGTGTGAGCCTAGCTGTGGGCCTGTGGGAGTGTAGTGTGTGTGTCTCCGCTTTACGAGAACCAAGGGGCATGTGAGAGTGTGTATAGCTTTGGGGGGAAATGCCACTGATTCTGGGGGCCCAGGAAATGTAACACCACTGCCCAGGTGTGCACGGGATGGTTTTAACTCCAAAAGAGTCCCCCCCCCCGCAAAGCTTTTTGATGATGCCTTTTAAATAGTCATAGAAAAGGAGGGCCCTGTGAACATTGTACTTGCCAGAAATGATTAGAAAATACACCATTGATAAGGAGCCAAGTCAGAGCAGGTCCTGCCCACAGGGGCAAGGTAGCCTCTCCAAAGTCCTTCCTGCAGCACAGAGCAGCATGGGAAAAGCCCATGTGTGTCCGTGGCCACGGGAGCTGCAGGGAGTCAGGCCTGGGAGAGAGCTGACCTTTGCCCTGTGGGTCTCTCTGGCTTTTCTGTGTGTTTGTCTGTCTGTCTTGGTGAGTGGGATAGGTGGATTCCCTCCTGTGGAGCTTTTATAGCACTGGGCATTCCAGGCCTGGGGCCGCCTTGCACTAATACATCCTTGAACAGTGACTTTGACAGGGAGAGTTGTCCCCACCCCACACCTTCCTGATGTCTGCATTGCCTGGGGTATAGGGACTAGAGTGCAGTCTGCTTTCACCCTGCCCAGGAATGTTTGGAATGCGTGGGACGTAGCTAGCTACCCAATGTGACTTCTGTGGTCAGCACCCTCAGTGTCCAGTACCGCCTCTGATCTTGCGAATAGGGAAGTGGCTGGGATCCCAGAACACTCCCTCCTTCTCTGTGGGGACTTATAATATTGGAGACCCAGGGGAATGAAAGCGCCTTTGTTGGTCAGGCTCTTATTGAAAAGGCCTCGGGTCTCTTCATTCACCCCCCACCCCTGAGAAAGCTCTCTGTCTCCCTCCCTGCCCTGGCCCACTTCTGGGCAGTTGGGGATCTTATCTTCCTAAACTTCTGAAGCTTTGAGATAGGGCTGGGATGTAGCTATTCCTCGGGGGTTTACAGGTATCTTCTTATGTCTTAACGTCCCTGCCTTCTGCCTCTCTCAGATTTGCCCCCATCTTCGTCATCCTCTCGGCTTTCGGTAATTTTGGAACTAGAGAGTAGTAGGGCCGCCCTCAGTTAGCTTCCACGACCCTTCTGTAGAAGGAAAGCGGGCCTGTGGGGACAGTGTCACACGGATAGACTTAGCCCCGCAGGGCTGACTGACACCCCGGGTAGCTTTGGGTAGGAGACGAGAGTGTGAGAAAGGGCACAGATTTGAACCAATCTCCCCGAAGACTTACGCAACAAAGAGGCCCACAAATGTGTGTCACTTGTGTCCTGGGATTTCTCCAGCTACCGAGAACAGAGTACGCTGCGACTCCATTAGTGCCCATCCCACGGCTTAATGTGAAGGGAAAGGACTTGGGGCTCCCTGGAGCCCAGATGTCCTCGGAAGAGAGGAGTTAGGGTGGAGCGGGGTAATTGCAGGAAGGAGCATCACTGGGCAGGGAAGAAGGGAGGAGAGGCAGGGCCACGGACAAGAGCTGAGAGCCTGGGGACAGGCAGACAGTGAGACAGGAGACACAGACCCCGCTGGGAGGCTGACCCACAGAGTAGGGACTCTTCTCGCTCTGTCGTTGGGTTTGGGGGTGTTAGAACTCAAGCAGCTGTGAACAAGAGTACTTTTGGCTTGAATGGCTGGGAATGGGAGTCTTCCCAGTGCTCCTGCAGGACACGGCCACCACCTGCCCCCTCCAAGGCGGGAGCTCCAGGGCTGGACCCAAGCGCTGCTAACTGGCCTGTGTCTGGGTGGTGCTGGCCGGGGACCCCATGCCGTCTCTGGGGCCTGAGCGATTCAGGGTGGGTCCTAACCCATCCTCACCCTCACTCTGGGCGGGGTGCATGCTGGGTGCTTCGAGCCACACAGACCATGAGAAGAAAATGAAACACAGGGCTTCATTCTCTTCCTGGCCCATGGCTGTGTTCTCTCACTGTGACCCGTCCGACCCTGTCCGTCACGCTGTGGGAGGCTTCTGGTCCCCGAGCCCCATCGCCTCCCCGGGGCTGCCTGCCTTGCACGCGGGGCCGCGAGTCCCGGCTGGGGGACGCCCGGACCGACCGGACGTGGCTGTTTTACATTTCCCTCCCAGCTCCTCCCACGTGGCCCCCGACCACGGTGGGTGCCACGGGCGCCCCCGCTGCCACCACCGAAGCCACAACAGTCCCCACCATCCCAAGTGTCGCACCTACCACCGTGGCCACCACCACCGTCGCCACGACCACAACCACTGCCGCCGCCACCACGGAGAGGCCTCCCACCACCACCTCCGGGACTAAGATGCCCGAATCCGGTACTGCCCACTGTCCCCGCACCCCGTCCCTCCGCCGGAGGCCCCCCGCGTACGAGGGCGGGCCTGGGGTGCGGTTGGCCGACACCTTCGGTTGTTTCTACCTGGAGAGCGCACAGGGATTCCCAGTCCGGGAGCCTGGGGGCGTGGAGCACCCCCTAGGCGCTCTCCACCTTGGGTGGCCCTCCATGGCTCCACAGCCGCGTTCTAGCCTCAGATCCTTGATGACAGAGGCCCACCCTCCTCAGGCAGGACCCCTGGGTCCCGGATGGGAGGGCTGCCTCCACACTCCCTCGGTCTACGGGCTTTTTGGTGGGAGCAAAGAAATAACACCTAACTCAGGCAACTAAGAGGCAAGAGGAGTGTGAGTATCATCTTTAATTCAGTTACATGGAGTTACATGAGCCCTAAGGGGACAAGGGATACATAACTGACACCATGTTCTTCAGGCCTTGAAAACACCGATTTGCTTTAAAGATACAATATCTAGAATTTAAACAATATGGGCTTTAGGAAGGGGTTGGCTGAGGAGAAGCCTGGCAGGTTATTAGAAGCTACCACCAAAGATGGGTGTTCTTTGGGGCCACAGGGAGGCACTTTACCTTATAACAGGGCTCTGTGTCCGCATGGATGCTGTGAGGTCACAGAGGAGATGCACAAAGGAGGAAGAAGGGACTGGATCTTGCTCCCCAGCAGAGTTACTTGCCCTCTGGAGAGGTCGGCCTTGCTACCACATAGGACTAACCCCATGGACTCTCATGTGCAACTTCTAACTGCCCAAGACACTGCAGAGGACCTGCCCGTGCCCCTGAACTTATCCTTAGAGCCTGGGGACACCCCTCAAACGTCCTCACTTCCCTTAATGCAGCAGAGTGGCTCTGTCATCCATGATTTTTTTAAATGATCGTTCATCTTTATCATGTCTTATGCCTTAGGACCACATTTCTTAAGTTTACTTTTTTTGGGGTGAAATGGGACTTTTTATTTGTCCTTAAGTTGTTTCTTTCAAATTTCAAGGGATACCCCCTAATTCTCCCATTCCAGGACTCGGCAGAACAATCCATACTTCCTCTCACGCTTTCTGTTCTTTATAGCAATTGATAGCCCTCCTTCCTGGTCTTTCTCTTTGAACATTTTCTTTAGCGGTCGGTATCTAGGTCTCTCTACATGGCACTGCCTTCCCCCAGCTCCCACCTCTAAGTCTTTTGCTTCCCCATCACTTCACCTTTTCTAGCAGTGCCCCAATCTCCACTACCTTTGAGACCATCAGATTTGGGTCAGTATTGTATTGGTGGCCAAACTGTTTAAACCCAAATTCTCTGGCTATTTCCAGGCCCCAGAGCTGAGGAGAAAGAAGCTCAAGTTCCCAAATCATGAGTTCTCCTAGTTCATTCCCACTCACAAGAACTTGAGATTCCAAGGGGCTGGGATTTGGGGTGGCTAAAAGCCACCAGTACAATGGAGACCCCAGGCAGATGAGCAAAGAAGCCTGTGTTCTGCGCTTCCCACAGGGAATGCCCCATGGCACCATCAGTGGAGTCTCTTCCTTGGCCCCTCACCTAACAAGAATCATATTCACCTGGGGCAACCAGCAGCTGACAAGGTTGTAGTAGAGAAGGCACTTCTTTGAAGTGAAGACCAAGAGATCTTTTATCACTTCCCAGCCCTGCAGACTCAGTCACGTGTCAAATAGATAATGAATAAATGCATCACCAACGTACTCTATTCATTTATTTTTGACAAGTGAGTTGGTGACAGTGCCCCCTTGCATGCTAATAAAATATACAGGAGCCACACTTGTAAAGTCTTTGAAATACAAGGCTTCACGCTAGTACTCCACTATTAAATCTTTGCTGGGAAATGGGGTAATCAGACTGCTGGGACTCGTGAAAAATGATTACGCTTGAAGATTAGTGCCACTCTCCTGTCCACAGGCTATGGTTTCAGATGGTGCCGTGGCTTTGATAAAGTAGCTCCCAGCTCGTAGGCACTAGATAATTAATGTCTTCCGTATTGCGTGGAGATCAAGCCTCAAAGACAATTTAGTGCTGAGAAGCCAAAAGAACTGGACTCTCCTGGTGTCTGAACCTTCGAGGGTGAAGGGCCAAGAATGAGTTTCCTTCTTTGGGTCCCACGTAGCCAGGAGAGGGACAAGAGGGGTTCATACCTCTCCTCTCTACTTGGGACCCTGGGGTTGTAGACCCCAAGTCTCCTCAGAGAGTCCAAGGCCCTGTTCCACATAATCCAAGATCTTGCTGACCAAGAAGGACCACAGGGACTCCAGAGTCACCCGTCTGGGTTACTGTTCTCCTCCAGTCTCAGGAGCCCTGTAAAGCTTTCCGACTTTTGGCCCTGCCCTTCCTACGCATCACGACTCTCGAGGGCCTTTGGAAGATCCCTCTCTCCTTCCTGTCGAATGTCTGTGGTTGAAGGGAACGAGGCTGGCACATCTCTCGCCCTCGGTCCGTACGCTGGCCGACGGAGCTTTCTCCGGGTCCCTTCCACCGCCCCATTCCAATCCATGACAAGGGATCTAAAAAGGGAAAGAGCCCACGTTCGAGCCTCCAGTGGCATAGGTCAAAACCCACTCTTTCATTCCTGCCCCTACCTGTGTGGACACACAGACCATCTCCAACTCTCCCTCACGCACAGGTCCTCCTGACTGCACCCACCCGTCCCTGGATGGCGACCTCTGGCCTGGCCACCAAGGCTGCAGCTTGGAGCTCTGTCGGGCCCCGTGCACAGCCTCTTCTGAGTCCTCCCTTTCCGAGCTGCGCACGTGTGTATATGTGTGTGCATGTGTGTGTGCACATGTGTGTGTCTCCAGAGCTGCCTCCGCCCTCACCACTAACCCCTCTTCTAACCTGCCCACCAGCCCCCGACAGGCAGTCCATATGGAACGTCACGGTGCTCCCCAACAGTAAATGGGCCAACATCACCTGGAAGCACAATTTCGGGCCCGGAACTGACTTTGTGGTTGAGTACACCGACAGTAAGCATTGCTGAGCGGTGGGGGGGGGCGGTGGCAGCAGCTGCGGCGGGTGGTGTAGATGCCATTAGAGAGATGCTGCGAACTCCCCCAGGCTCCGAGGGGCCTGTTAGTCCGGCTTAATTATGACTCGATGAAATCGATGCGCACTCCGGCGGCAGTGGGGTGGGAAGAGCAGCTAAAAGAGAAGGAAGAGGGCTTCTGAAGCCATTAGTGGAGGTCTAGGGTTGCATGTGCTGGGGAGGACCTGGGTAATGGGGCCTGGCGTCCGCTTCCCGTCCAGGATGAGGGTTCTGAATAGCAACCCCCCCCCCTGCCATGAGCCAAACCTCACTTCTGCCTGGATTTCCTTAACTCACAATCCCTGTTTCTGGTGTGTCCACTAGACGGGCTAGGCCAGTTCAGACTTCTGGGTATAGCTGTGCTTTCCTCACGGAGGAATGCCAGTGGCCTCCTATCCAAGGCACTGACCGGGGCCACTTTGTCGCAGAGAGCGGGTGGCTGGAGCTGAGCTGTTCCTCTTTATTAGATCTTAGGATCAAGGGTACATATTTATCAGACTGTAGAGTGTGGTCAAGATATCTGCCTTCTTTGAGGGAAGGGCCCTGCCCCTGAAGACTCAGACCCACTATGGTGTTATCCTTAGCAATGAACGAAACCAGCTCACCCAGCCAGGAGATCCACCTGGGCGAGCTACCCGAAGATCTGTAAGGAAAGAGCAAAGCCGACTGTCAGTCCTCTGTGGTTGGAGGGGTTCACATCCATAGAATCGGCACCCCGATTTTGCAGCTTCCTACGGCCACCATGCACCCTGCACCCCAGATGCCAGGGCACTGGCTTCTCCTGATGTGTGAATCCTCCACACAGTGAGAAAGGAGAGGTGAAACCGGGGTGAGAGCCAAGAAGTAGAGTCCTGCCTCACCTCCCTTCACCATGAGGGATGCTGAGTGGCTCTCGGACCCTCACCGGGAAGGCTCCCACCCAGGAAGTAGGTCACAGTGTTTAGTGTTTGAGACTGTAGTGAGGAACGAAAGCTTGAGGAGAGAGAAAGAGCGCCCTTGGCGGGAAGGCTGCTGTGCGGGAGAGTCAGCACCGCATGGAAGCCTGGTGAGCTGTCCAGTGACCTCCTGGTCTGCGCAGCAGCCTGGCCCTCCCCCCATGCTTCTGCCCTTGACCGGTGACCAGGAACCTAAGCACTGCCTCTCCAGCTCCTCGTGCCTGGCCCTAGGCTGACTGAGGTTTCTGTTCCCCAGGCAACCATACGAAAAAAACTGTCCCTGTTAAGGCCCAGGCCCAGCCTGTACAGCTGACAGACCTCTATCCCGGGATGACATACACGTTGCGCGTTTATTCCCGGGACAACGAGGGCATCAGCAGTACCGTCATCACCTTTATGACCAGTACAGGTGAGAGAGGGTCTGGCCTGCCCCCCCACCCCGGCAAGCATGGGGCATTTCATTCCATTCTCAGCTTCCTGCTTGTCTCTCCTTCTTGGAAAGAAGACTCATCCCACCCATTCCCCACCTTGCATGGCGTGTCTCGGCTCTTATTATACATCAGTCCACAGCTCCCAGGAAGCCAAGAGGAGCCAGAGTGCATGCACAGTGGCGAGGAAGCGCCCTTCCGACCCCGAGGCGTGCATGGGGAGTCCGAGGGAAATAGGATTGTAGGCTGAGGACGGAGGAGGCGCCTGGCCCTTCTCGCTGTGCTTAGAACAAAAGGGCTTGGCATAGGTGCAAACTTGGGCCCTGTGTGTGGGTCTGGGGGCTGGAGGAGCGCAGGGCAGCCTGCCCCGTGTGCACAGGACCTTGCTTCCTCACGTGGCATTAAGAGATAGGGCCATCCAAGGGTCTCGACCCAGAAATCTTCCCAGGATCAGCATGTATATCCCTGCCTTGCCACTGTCATCTGTTAAAAAAAATTCCAAAGTGTGTGACACGAGTTGTTGGGGGCTTTATTTTGGCTTAATTTTTATCCCAAGTTTGCCATGGCTTCAAAGTAGTTGATCTTCGTCGAGTTGGGGGAGAGGAGGAAGCTCTCCAGTAGGAGCAGAGTTCTGGCTCGAAAGGGACTTCGGCTGTTGCTAGAGAAGCAACCTCAGTGTGCCAAAGGAAGGCCAGTAGGGGCTCCGGAAACGGGAGAAGGTCAGGGTGGGCAGGCAGCTTGGAGACTTGAGGGCACCCGCTCATGTGTTCATGTGTATCTTCACAGTCGGCCAGGCAGGTGGCCACGCTAAGCCCTGGGGCCAAGGGCGAGTGTTGGGGAAACAGCCAGAGAGAGAAAAGGACCAGTCCCTGCCCCCAGGATGTCCTAATCAGATGCAGGGTAGTAGACGCACGCATAGAGAAAAAAAACCACACAGTGATTTATATGGCATTCTGAATGTTGGCTGAAATAATTCATCACTCTTCCTGAGCCTGGCCAGGCTCATCCTGGTAGCCTGCATCTTAAGAGTCACTACCCATCTGTATAAATGTCTCACTCCACCCCTTCTGGCCTGGTCCCTCCTGGTCTGGACGTCCTGTCCTCCGCCCCGTGCCTCCACCTGTACTGCCCATGTCCAGGCTGTCGAGACGCAGGGAGTCTGAGAGTCCAGCTGCCTGCTTGAGGCCAGCCCAGCCAACTCAGGCAAGACATCTGAGCAAGTGGCCTGGCCAGCTTGGGAGCCAGGCAAGGGAACCGGACAGTTGACGAGCAGAGCAGGTGGCTGGACTCTGTCTGACCCAGTCAGGATCCCAAGCTGTTGCTTATCGGTGCGTGCGTTTGATTTTGCTTCGTTATCAACCTGAGTCCAGCACAGAGGCAGGAAGCACAGATAAGATCCCAGGCTAGAGCCCCCTCCTAGGGAATGCTACAAAAGCCAGGGCAGCCTGCTTCCAGAGTTTGACTTCTCCCAGCGCTAAGTCCTGGGGCTGTGAGTGAGGGGTGCGGAGAAAGAGCCAGAGAGGAAAGGACCAGGCCCTGCCCTCGGGGACATCCCAATCTGCTTCCCCATATAAAACATGCGGTACAGGGGGGAAAAAAAAAAAGAAAAGAAAAATAAGACGATTGATAATACACTTCTGAACATTGACTCAGTGTCCTTTTCTCTTTTCCTGTGGTTGTTCTGGAGACACTCTTCCTGATAGATTGCTTTCAGAGTGAGCGAGTTTTCCCCGCTTCCTCTCCGTGCGAGCTGGGTGAGCAGGTTTGCAACCCCAGCCCTGAGTACGTATTACTTACTGACATCGCTGGCTGGCTAGAGATTACTATGTGCAAACCACAGAAGAAAGGGAAATATTTTCACTTTCTGAAGTTTGTGTGTTTCTGGATTCTTTGAAAATGCACGCTGTGTATCCTGTGGGTGGACTCCCAAGCCAAATTCACACGATCCCCTAGGCCCCAGCGTCTCATCAAAGCAAGAGTTCATGAGCATCTCTGGGTCCAACCACGGGTCATTTAGGTGACCACAGGCCATCACTTGAGTCCACAGACTCAAACATGCGGCAGTGGTTCACGGGGGATATGGAAGAAAACCACTAGGAATGCTAACCAGCTCCCTGACCCTCGGCGGGAAGATCCCACATGGAAAGTTAATCACCTCTTTGAAGCTTTTGAAGGCAAAGAGACCCAAGGGGCCACAAACACATAACTCTGGACTCCGGGGGGCTCGCCAGCTCTTCTGTCCTGGGGTGGGCGGGGTGGGGCCAGGCGGCAGCAGGCAGGTGCTGACGGTGGGCCAGCAGGACCGACTGCAAACTGCCTCAGGCCTCAGGAAAGCGGGAGGAGGGACATTAGGGGACCTCCCTGTAGTCAGCCTCTTTCGGTTGTGTTTGGAAGAATCCCACCATGGGGCACAGTGGTGTTGCAGAGGCGTCAGATGGTGCTTCAGTAAGATCAGCTAAGCCCAGATGCATCTGAAGGAAGTCCATCCCTGTTCTGCGTGTTCATCTACCCCTATTTCTGAATGTAATTCTCCGCGGACTCTGAGTGATTGGCCTTTGAGTCGTGAGAACTGCCTGCCTTGCACACGAATAGCCCATGTCTGAGCAGTGTTGCAGGCTGAGGTGTGTGGGAGGCACACAAAATATGGCCTCTGGTCTAGAGTCAGAGGCATTTTGGGCCTGAGGTTGCCAGGCCTTGTGGGCCGGAGGAGCAGGTGCTGTTCTGCTCCCCATTCCAGTGGAAGGTCGCGAGTGTAAATGCACCCCGGTCTTTGAACGTTGTCCTTACTGTCTCCATTAGGAATCTTGAAACACGTTGAGCAGATCGATTAAGAATGATGTTGGCAGCCAAATGTAATGCGCTGAAGCCTCACTACAAGGCCTTCCGCCTCTCAGAGTCCACTCTGTCGGGTCACGTTGTGAGTGAGCTTTTGGTTCTCGAGAAACTAAGTCATTTTGATGGAGTCTGGTTGAGCTCACCTCACCCCAGATCCCACCTGGTTTGGGTTGGGGTTTTGGTTTTTATTGACGTATCATTGACATAGAACCTTGTATTAGTTTCAGGTGCACAACATGACGATTTGATATATGTATATATTGCAAAGTCATGGCCACAAGAAGTTTAGTTAACAGCCAGCACCACGCGTATTTACAAAACCCATTTGGATTTGAACAGCCTTCTGGGTCCAGAACATTCTTTGACCTTTTTGGTAAGGACTGAAGGTAACATCTGAGCTTCAGGTGCTGTCAGGAATGGAGAGCTACATTCGCTTTCCGGATTGCCCGTATGGCCTCTCTCCCTGCGATTGTGACTTCCTGTCCCAAGAGAAAAGGAGTCTCGGGGAGATGGCTTGTCAGGACATATCAGAACAAGCATCAGGAAGATGGTAGTGGAGCAAACCAACTGTTCTGCAGAAGGTGGGAACCACCATCCAATCTCAAGGTGGCACATGGTCAAGCCAATCTCCCTGTGACCCCGGCAAGTATCCCAAATTAACCATATTAAATTAGGATTAAACTGGTCTTTAATAAGCAGTCACTGCCTGCTTGCTATGTGACCAGCATCGTGCTAAGCACTAGGGGGCCCAAAGACTCCCCTGTTCTCAAGCCTTTAATAGTATCATTAAAAATCCAGACCCAGGAAACGGAGCGATTGAATGTTACATTTCGCGGAGTAAACAGGTAAAATCGGACTTCTGAGATTGGTGTGAGCTGGAGGAGTGGGAGATTCAGGAAGGAGGGGTGGAGTGTGGAGGTGGAGAGCAAGAAGGGCAGCAGGGCAGGCTCTCTTGGGCACGGGGGTAGGGGGGGAGCTGCAGGGAGGGGACGCGCAGAGCGCCTGGAAGGCCAGGCCTGACGGGAGGTGTCCTGAGAGCATAATGCCATGAGGTGCCATTGTATCCTTGGGACCTGATAGGCCCAGGGTAAGGAGGGGACCCCTCTAGCCTAGAGCAATGGGGCAAATATGAAGGACACTGGAAGGAGAAAGGATAAGCCTTAGGGATGGCAGGAATGGGGAAGCCACTGGCGGGAGTGGGGAGCATCGAGGGGCGGGAAGACATGGCGTTGAATTTCAAGCAGACGGACCATCCAAGGAGATGTTGGGATGTTAGCTGGGAACGCTGGGCTTACAGCTGCGGACCTGGCTGGAGGGACAATGCGAGATGAGTAGAGGGATCGCCGGTTGGAAAGTCAGGCCTGGAGGACAGGGGAAGGTAGGAGCCAAGGAGGTAGAGGCAGGTTTGGGAAAGACCCACTCCATGGTGGTAGTTGTTGAGTAGAGAGAGGCTTGAGGTTGGCCTGACGGGATTGGGGGAAGGAGTTGATGGGACCCAGAGACCACGGAAGATGAAGGAGTTCACCTAGAAAAGGACAGTGCCTCATCTAGAGCTGAAAAGTCGTGGGCTCCTGCAGGGTTTCTGTTTTAAGATCCAGGAAGCTTCAATGTGGTTAACAGCAGGAGGGAGGGGAAAGCAAAGAGGAAGACGCTGGGGGGTCGGAGATCCTTCTAGGACTGAGCCCCACCCCCACCCCCCAGAAGGGGCGAGCTGCTGCCACTGCTCTGGAGGCAGGGACAGCTGCAGCGGCTGTGAGGTTTCGGTGGTCACACTGATGTCGCCGGCACGGGGACAGGATGGCGTGGAGTGGCACGAGAGGGAGCACCAGTTTGGGGGTCAGGCAGCAGCGAGTGGAGGGACTGCCCGGCAGCAGCAGAGGTCCAGTTGAGGCGCACGTAGCTTACCAGCTCTGTGACCTTGAGCAAATCACATAAACTCTCTGTGCCTCAGTCGTCTCATCAGTAAAATGGGGATGATAAAGCCTTGCGGCTTCCGGCTGAGAACGAGTGCTAGGAGAAAGGGGAATGAGAGCCCTCAGAGGGTGGCTGGTTGGGGGAGAAGGCTTTGGCTTTAGCTGAGAAGGTCTGGGCGGCCAGTTGACCGAGGCGGCCATCTGAAGGCAGAGCTGCACATGGAAGGGCCTGAGGTAGGGATGTGAGCGGCCAGTGTGGCTGGCGGAGAGAGGGTAGGCGACAGGCCCAGAGAAGTGTCCGGGGCCAGCTCAGGTGGAGCCCGCCGGGACAGGTTAGGAAGGCAGGCGTTTCCCTGGTAGCAGTGGGCAGCGTTGGAGGGTTGGGGCGAGGAAGTAATTTGCTCGTACGTGGGGTTCTGGGAGGATCTCTGTGACACTGTCCAGGGAATGGCCTGCAGGAGCAGGAGTGGTGGCGTGGGATTCCCCCCACAACATCCATAGATCGGGTGAGCACAACCAGGGCAGAGAGCATGAAAGCCTTTGCTCATCCGTCTTCCCCATTTGTCCAGACCCTTCCTGGTGCCGTGCCCTTGCCTAGGCACAGAGAAGGCTATAGAGACAGTTTCTCTGTCCAAGAAGAACAAAGGGTAAGATTGCACCCAGACACCTGCCCCACAGAAGGGCATGGGATAAAGACCGTGGGGCACGAGGGCTCTGGGTCACCCCTCTGTTCCTTGTGCTCTCCTCCCCCGCCGCCAGGAGGAGGCCCCGTGCTTGGCTTGGGCTCTGTGGGCTCTCTGGGACCCTGCTGTCGACCGGCGCTCTGAGACACCCCTCGGCGCACTCGGAGGGCTCCGGGGTTACTTTGGGTCTGCTCAGGGTTGCTTGGATCCTGCCTCTCCTCCCAAGTCTTGGTTCCCAATGCAGGCTGGGTTTCAAGAGGGGGTGCTTGTGTTCTCTAGTCCATAGAAAGAAGAGTGAGGGGGTCCTGCCCACTCCACACCCCTTCCCAAACCCTAATGCCAACCGTTGGGTCATCCAGGACACCGTCAGATGGCAGCTGAGCCCTGGTCCTCTAGGCCCACTCACATGCCCCTTGACTTGTGAAGGGGTCTGCTCCGGTTGAGACATGTCTTCACACGCTCCCTGAGGGGCTAGGGAGAGACTCACGGTCACGGGGGTGGGGGGGTCTCCATGCGTGAAAGTGGTCGGAAGTGGCATGGGGTGCACTGAAGGCCTGGCCCCAGCCCATCTGGGGGTACCCGTGCAGGGACTGTCTCTGCTGTAAGGGAGACGGTTGGGGGAATGTGAGAAAGCACAGGGCATTCTGGAACAACACCCTGCCCGGGACCCACAGCCAGGAGACCTGGTTGGCTTCGGGCCCATATTGGTGGGAAAGGTCGCTGTTCGGAGCCAGTGCAGGCCTGTGAAGGTGTTCTTAGAACAGGTTTTTGCAGTGTAACCACGGCCCCCGTTCCCTGATGGGTAGCAGAGTCCCATTTCCTCACCCCAGGCTCGCTGATGGGGAATTGTACCTCCAGGGCCAACCCCTGGCCTTCCCTCCATCCCCACCGGGCTGTGACCAGCCGTCTGGTTTGCAAGAGTGCCATGCCCCATCCTTAGGAAACTTCCCCTTCCTAAAGGACCTGTTCAGCCTTCTGCTGCTTATTCTGCTCCCTATACCCCTTTCCTGTGCCTCTTTTCTGACCTCTGGACCTTGGCTCTTTAATTATTTTCTCTTTGTCCCTGTAGCGGGGTGGTTCAGGCCAGAGGACTGCTAGGTAGTAGCGTAAGGCTCAAAGAGGAACATCGACATGAAATAGCCATTCTCCCCCCCACGTCTCCCTCCTCACCTCCGCCCATGGGAAATCACTTGTGTGTTTGCTTCTGGCCCTCCCCCCGCCCCCCCAGCTTACACCAACAACCAGGCAGACATCGCCACCCAGGGCTGGTTCATTGGGCTCATGTGTGCCATCGCCCTCCTGGTGCTGATCCTGCTCATCGTCTGTTTCATCAAGAGGAGTCGAGGTGGCAAGTACCCAGGTAGGATATATGGGAGGAATGGGCTTGGGAGAATGGGGCCGGCAAGCTTTCCTGGGAGCCACCAGGACCCTGACCAGATCCAGGGGGCTCAGTTCTCCCAGCGAGCCTAACCCTTGCCAAGCTTGGACATAGAGTCCTCTCAGCTGGTCCGTGCATCTTAAAGCTGCCAGAAAGCACTTGAGTTAATTAAGTTTATCCGAGGTGGGTGGATGGAACGGTCCAGGCAGCTCCAAAGAGGGGATGGAAGGAACCCTGGCTCCTATTAAGAATGACCTTCCCTCCCCTTGACTCACCAGCCGTCTGCTCAGTAAATTGGCTTTTTTCAGCCTGAATCTCATTAGGATCCTGTGTCCTAAGGAAGAAAGGCATTTTCTCTAACCACGAGAGAGAACAGAGAGGGGAGGGTCTGGATGGAAGAAGCACGCCCATGAGAGAGGCTGTCGGTGACTGGGCTGTAATGACCGATTCCCCAGCAGAGGGTCAGGAGCTCCTGCTTGAAGAGCAGGCAGAGGTTGAGGGATGGCTTGCATTGGTACAGACCCCATCGGGAAAGAGCTTTGGACTTCCCTAGCGTCCCAAAGAGCCGTTGCTCTTCTGGGGGCCTCAAGATCCACCAGCCCAGACAGACCAAGGTCAAGGACAAGGACCTCTGGCATTCTTGCTTCTGGAAATATTGATTGTTTTTTCAAACAGGGGCAACAAAGCCATCTGTCTGGGACGGGGTGAGTAGAATGACAGGGGACAGGGCAATGGATGACCCAGGGAGCGAAAATCCCGCTGGGCTGCAGAAAGAAATTGCTCCCTGCCCCCCAAAGCCCCATGGCCAAGCACAGGCCGTGCTCCCCAAATGCCGCCGCTCTCTGCCTCTAAACAAGACCTCCTCCAGGGTCCCCCTAAAACTCAACTCAGAGAGAAGATTCTCTTTTATTTCCTCTCCCCACCTCCCCACCGCCGCATACCCTCAGACCCTAGGATTCTAAAGAGTTCTGTCTCTGCTTTAAGTGAGGGAGATGTCTGTGAGGGAGGGCAGGAAGTTATAATTCTTTATTGGCTAATGACGTTTTCTTTCACTTTGTTGTGCTGTGTTGGGATTGTTTTTCTCCTGTAAATTAGAAAGCCAGAGTCAGGGAGAAGAACAACCTTACTGAGCTCACCCCCCAACTCATCAGATAAGCTTGGAGGCTTCCTTTGCCCATTTAGACAGTGTCCTTTTCCAGAAAGTTCTTCTCACAGCTTACCTCCTTCCCTCCAGCTGCAAGGTAAGGCCCTAGTCCCCTGGAAAGATGAGCAAACCATGAGGCCTGGGCTCTAGCCTTCATGCTAAACTTGAGTCAGTCACTAATAAGTTCTGGGATATGTTCTTCACCTCTGAAGGGCTCGGTTTCCCTTTCCTAAAATGGGGGAGATTATCTTGCCCTGTACCTCAGGAAGGATACATAGTCCCTCGCATAAGTGTCCCCGTGTGCCGGGCCCTGCTGGGCGGGAAGGACACGAGAAGGAAGGATGATCTCTCCCCCAAGACACTGCAGTTGGCGCCGCGGGAAGATCAGAGCCCAGGAGACGGGCCTGGGCTGGGTGTGTGCAAACCACAGAGCAGGTGTGGGAGAAGGGGGTCCCACACACTAGGGAGGCCACAGACACAGGAGCATTTTCCAGCCCGAAAGTGCGTAGGGAGCGCCCCCTCTGCCCAGGGCACTCTGCTAGGGGCTTTTACAACCGTGCACAAATGATTACCCTGCAGAGCAGCATAGGAGAGGTGCCAAAGAGAGGATCACATCTATTCGGTGTTTGGGGGCAACCCCGTGGAGAGGTGGCGGGGGGGCCTGGTGGGAGGAGGCTTCAGTTGTCAACGGAGATGTGTGGAAACGCCGGGGTTGAGGAGGAGGCGGGGGCGTCAACTTGACAGCTGGTTAAATGCCGGAAGCAAGAATGGGGGAGGCATCGACGGTGCCTCGTTGAAAGGGAGAGAGTCACTAGCTACAGTCGGGGTCCGGGGAGGGGGGGGGCAGGGGCATAATCCCCATGTCTGTGTCTCTGCTTCTCTTACCGGCCAAGTGCGAGAAAAGAAGGATGTTCCCCTGGGCCCCGAGGACCCCAAGGAAGAAGACGGCTCCTTTGACTACAGGTGGGTGACCTGTCTGGCTCCTGGCCCCCCCCCCCACCCATCCCGGCTGTCCCCTCCGCCTCTCCAACAGCCCCTGCTTGTGCTGAGCGGGCTGGATGAGGCTGCCTCCCCGCAGGGAGGACACGGCCCTGCGCACTCACACGGACTTGAGGGACACTGTTCCATGCATTCACCCGCACAGCTCCAATTTACTGAGCTCCTTCGATGTGTGTTTCCATCTCTTTCCTCTGAAAGCAGATGCTGGGGACACCGTGGCCATGAAATGAGCTGTTGGCTTCCTCTCTGCCCACCCCCCACCCTAACCCTGAAGACAGGGACCCGGGGAAACTGTATTGTCTTGAAACCTCAACTTAGTGAGGGATGAGGGGCAGGGGTGGGGGGGTTCTAGATCTTTTCCTCGTGAACTTGAATGATATCTCTGGGCCCTAGCCCAAAGCATGTCTTGGAGAAGCACCTGGTCGGGGCCTGTCCCAAATCAGAGGACTGAGGCCCAGACAGGGACGTGACCTGCCCAGGAATCCCACCCATACTTGCCGCCCAGCAAGCTGGTGGCAGAGCTGGAGAAGCCAGGGCCTGACTCCCAGCAGGGTCACATCACGACCCATCCCTCTCAGATCTGGACGGGCCTTTGTGGCTGGTGTGAGAGAGACAGATTACAAAGTTGTAATCTCCATTTTGATGGCAAGTGTATCCTGCGTTAAGGAATGATGTGGGGGGGGGGGTCACGGAGGCCTCATTCCCAAATTAAGGCAGGCGGGAGGAAATGCTCTGATCAGAACCCTACTCCCCCACCCCCACTCTGTTACTCTCTGGGGCGAGATCACCCCGTCTTCCCCTGATCTCTCCTTATCCTACCCTCGGCCTCCACCACTCCGCTCATCAGCAGCCTGGCAGGCAGACGCTGCCCAGAGCCACTGCCCAGCCAGGAGCCTATCTGGAGACTTATGTACCAAATCCGTCTGCCCAGTCCCGACATCTCCAAAAGCCTCCTAAAAGGGCAAGCAGGAGAGGCCCCTCCCCTGACTGTCCTCAGCAGCCCTGGCAGGGCCCATCTTCCCCAGGGGCTGAGCCCTATTTCCTTCCTGGCTACCGGTTCCAAAGAACATGGGGCTTTCCCTTCCCCAGGCCCTCAGTGCAACCCCACCTCCTGTGCTGTGAGAAGTTGCTCCCTCAGGCACCTCTCCTCCCCCAGACACCGAAGCTGTTGGGCAAAAATATCTGCCTTCTCCCCACCCACTCCCCTGTCCCACCCACACTGAGGCTGGATATACACACACAGGTGCATGCATGGGCCCACACACCACGGACGCACACGCACATGCGCGCACACCCACCTCGGTTTCAGCTTGGCAGCGAAGCACCTCCCTGTGGGTCTCTCTGCTTCTCTCTCCCTCATCTGCCCACCTGCGTCTCCAGGGTCTCTCGGAAGATGGGCTGACAGGTGACTAGACCAGGGACCCCCTAGTCCTTCTGGTTCCTTTCAAGCTTCCCTTGGAAGAGGTCCGTTCTTTCCAGATCTAGATCCTCTTTCTCTGTAAGAACCTGACACACTAGAGACGCTCCCTCTGTCCAAGCTGGGCCATTCCTGTCCAGCGGCTGCATTTGGCTTAGGTACCTGGAATCCCCTAGAATCACACACACAATCCTCATGCTTCTGGGAGGGAGTGTGTGTAAAAAAGACCCGTGAGTAGGACCAGGACCAGCAAGAAGCTGCTAGTTTTTCAAAATGTGAGCCCCACTCTCCGTACAGACTCAGTCCAGCCCGGCAGACCCACCGCCTCCCTGTAGCCCTGCCATCGGAGAACAGGCCGAGGTAATGGAGCAAAAGAGGGAGGCCTGATAGCTTTGCATATGGACTGACGCCCCCTCGGGCTCGGGCTCCAGGTCTCCCCTGCTAGCTGTCTCTGCCCAGCACCAGTGTTAGAAGCCACCATGCATTGCCCCCTCTAATAGCAACTCAGCCGGCTGTTTCCAGCGCCCCCATCACACACACACACACCCAGGAAGGACTAATTGTGGCCTGGGGGCCGGGGAGGGGACATTATGTGTCTGCTGCACACCTGGCACCGTGGGGGCCCCGCTGGCTGGGACCCAGACTCCCACTGCCACCTGGCTGCCTCCTGCCTGGGGGCCATCTCCTCTCTGAAATGGGGCCAGGAGCACCTGGCCCCCCCCTCGGAGCCCAAGGGCAGGACCTGGGGGCCTCCAAGGAGGCTGGGCAGGGTCGCCAGAGCCTTGCTGAGCTTTGTCTCCGGGTGCTGGCCCCGCACTCTTGTCTGTGCCCCTCCGCTCGTGCCTCTTTCACTCGAGGCCCCAGCAACCGCATCTGCCCGTTGGTAAACCAGAGAGCAGGCGGAAACCACACCACGGTGAGAAGGGGAGAGGTCTGTTGCCCTGTGGCCCAGACCCGTTGCTTTTTGTTAAGGGCAGAACCTCTCGAGACAGGGCCACCCAGATCACAGAGGGTCAAAGCGAGTTCAGCCCCTCTTGATGGAGAGATTAAGGCCCAGGGAGAAGAAAGGCTTTCCCAAGACCCCAGAACCACACAGTGACGCACGCGGCTCTAGCCCCCCAGCTCCTCGGCCCACCCCATCCTGCTTCGTCTTACAGCAGCTGGCTCTCCTCACTGTGGGGTGGCTGTCTCTGCCTCGTGACGGGGACCCCAGCCCGGCAGTCTGGAAGAGGGGGCTTCCACCACCTTGCCACCTCGCCTGGGCGGAGACACCGGTCCTCTCCGGGCCTTGGGTTCCCTTCTGTAACCCAGCCGGACGGGGGAGGCCTGGGGGGTGGGGGCGCTGACTGGTGACCTCCGAGGCCCTCCCCTCTCTGAGCTGCGGAGCACATACGCCTGGCGGGAGACCAGCAGCCTGGTGCTACCCCACCGGGCTCTAAGCGCCACTGGACTGGGCCGGACCCTGATTCTCTGTCTCTCTCTGGCCAGTGACGAGGACAACAAGCCCCTGCAGGGCAGCCAGACGTCCCTGGATGGCACCATCAAGCAGCAGGAGAGTGACGACAGCCTGGTGGACTATGGCGAGGGTGGCGAGGGGCAGTTTAACGAGGACGGGTCCTTCATCGGCCAGTACACGGTCAAAAAGGACAAGGAGGAGACAGAGGGCAACGAAAGCTCCGAGGCCACGTCGCCTGTCAACGCCATCTATTCTCTGGCCTAACGGAGCCCCTCCCCCCCAACCCAGGGCACAGCCACTACTCTGCAAGCGGGAGGAGGGGAGAGGGGGAGATGAAGCCACCGCAGACCTACCACACGGCCGCCACCACCTTCAGGGACAAGCAAGGGTACAACAAGGGGGTCTGCCAAGCTGTGAGGACCAGTGACCGCCCAGCCAACCCCAAGCCGCCCCCCCCCCCGCCCCGCACCCCCGGGGTGCCACCATGTGGAAGAGCCAGAGTCCAGGCTAAGCTCAGCTGGAGGGAGCCCAGCCCTTTGCTCAGCCTCATGACCACCTTGAGCCTTCCACCCCCACTGCCCACCCTTGACCTCGGCACACACACCAGTTTCTGTTGGTTATGGCCCTTCGCGTTGTCTCTTCATTTTTGCTTTGTGCATCTTCCCCATCCAGACCCAGCATCTCCATTTTCTTTTCCTTTCGAAGAAATGTCCCTGGACAAAGAAAGAATAGGTGGCTTCTCCCTCAGATAGGCAAAAGGATTGACCTGTAAAAGAACATCGAGAAAAGCTGTCGTATTCACACCGCCACCTGGCCAATGTATTTCCGAAGGATGCCTTTCTCGCCAGATGCCTCCCTGGGCCCCCAACCCATGCACCTTGGCCTTGTCCGTTGCTGAGCTGGGCTTGGCTCTTTTCTGGAAAATGGCAGGACTTTTGGCAGGAGAGAGTGGGCAGGCCTGCTTGCCTCACTCTGGTTCAGTTGGGAGGGGGGCTTACCTCTTGCTCCTTCGCTGTCACCCTGCCCCTTCCTCCAGAGTGTCCCAGACAAGAGCTGCGCCGGCTCTGAAGGAGTCTGAGGAACAGCAGCGGCCACGATGGGAAGAGCTTCGACACCAGGGGCCAAGTACCTCGAGCCAGAAGGAAACCGGGCGTCTGGTCCCTGGGGAGCTGTGCTCACCTCAGGAGAGAGGGAAAGGGCTGGGTTTGGACTCCCTTCCTCCCCATCAGTGAAACCCAGGATGTGGGAGAGAGGACCATGCCCCCTGCCTGCAGGGGAGAGGGTGCCCCCCACCTGGTCAGGGATCCCTGCCGCTGCCCTCACGGAGATGGAACCAGGCGATGCAGAAGCTTTGCTGGTGTGTTTGGGGGTATAACGTGCTGCTCCCCCTCTCGTCTCTAGCAGAGAGCATCTCCTCGGTCAATTCTGTAAGACACTGAACGTGGCGTTTTACACCCCAACCGAGTGGTTCCCCGCCCCCCGCAACCGAGACCGAACCAGCGTGTCCTCTCCTTGGGGTATTTACATATCAGGAGAGCCCGCGGGAACACCACGCTGACCGCGCCAGAGAGCCTGGCCTGGGGACCCCACGCCCTCCGGATGCCTTACGCAGCTCTGATCTGGCCCTGCAGCTCCCAGTTCCCAGCCCCTGCCCGCAAGCCTCGAAGCCTCCAGCGATGTCAGTCTCGAGAGCGGGGCGGCCCCTGCAAACGTCACCGCAGAACGAGAGCAACCACTCGACCTTTGCCCTGCATCCTCTTGCCCCAGCCCGAGACCCTGGCTGACTGCAGTTCTCCGAGACCGAAGGCACAGCCTTCATCCTCCCCACCTAATCCGTTTCTGAAACCAAAGGTACCTAGCCCCAGAGAGAGATCTTGAGCCTGAGAGCAAGCCGGTAGCTGTCGCTGCAGCTAGAGTCGGTTTCGGGAGGGTAAAGCTGACCCCCAGCGATGGCCTGCCTGCCACGGGCACAGCCTCTGATTCGAGCCTCCAGCTGCTTGGAGGGTGGCCTGGGCAGGAACGGGGCTCTGTCCTTCAGAGGCTCGATTAAAGCATCGTTTGCCACACGTTTTAAACCACAAAGGTATTAGCAATGCTTGCATCACTTAGTAATCAGTCATTTCAAGGTCAAGCCCGTAGACACATGCACTCTGTCTGCAGATAAGAAACCATAGCCCAGAGCTGAGCCAATTATGTTGTTTGAACCTGAGAGCAGGTAACAGGCCTTTGGCCCCGGCCATGGCCAGCCTTGCGGCCCAGAAGCCCGAGGGGCAGTTCTCTCATGGTGAAAGGGGACAGGGTGAATAACAGGGGGCTAGGAGTGAGCTCAGGGGTCCCCTCCCCTGGCTTTCCTCTGACACCCGCCTGCATACAGCGGGGCATTCCTGCACCCAAGCCCAGCGGCCCTCAAGGGAATGTCAGGGAAGTGTGCCTGTGCACTGAATTAAAGGACCAGCCTTTCCAGAAAACACTCTGGATCTGAGCAGAGCAGTCTCTGGCCTCTCACTCCATGGGACATCCCACACACTAGTGAGCTCAGTGTACCGCAGACAGGTTCATAGGGTGAGGGGACTGTGTGCTGTCACAGTGCCCGTCCACCTGCCGCGCAGCCAAGGACCGCAGGAGGGCTTCTGCCTGCGCAGGGTCTGGGGGAGGGAGGGTCCCTCAGCCCGGCTGCTCCTCGTGTGTGTCCTGCCGGCTCTGAGCCACAGCTGCCCTCGGCAGCCACGAGGAGAGGCGCTGCCCGCGCCACACACCTCCCAGCCCTTGTGGCAGGCGGGCGCCACCCTGAGCCTGGAGAAGCAGTCTTCCCCAAGCAGAGATGCTTAGAGAGGTGTGTGGCTGGCAGGGTTCGAGAGCAGCCCTTCCAGGAAGAGGATGTCCGTTTTCCATGGGCCCGTGCCAGAGCCCAGCCCGCGTAGCCGGAAAGCCGTATTGGCCCACACCGCCCGGCCAGCTGGGGCGCCCAAGCAGCCCCCCAAAAACCTACCAACCGTGGAGCCAGGAGATGGGACACCACTGGTGCTTCCACCTGCCTGGCTGTTGAGGGGGCATCTTGCAGTGACCCCAGAAGCCCCATTGCCTGTGCTGCAGGCCCAGCTGCTGTGCTCGGCCACCAGGCTGTGGGCTCAGGAGACGCTCTTGAACTTCTAGAGTGAGCCGGGCTCTGAGCCACAGTCATGCGTGGCCCCCGCCCTCCCAGGGCTCACAGGCCTGGAGCTGAGGCTCAGGACACAGAGGGCATTGGTTGGGAGCACCCTGAGTGCTTAAGCCACCGATGGCTCCAGGCTCAAAGGGAGATGCTTCGGCGAGAGCACATGGTCCACAAGGCTGAGCAAGACGGGGCAGTCAGAGGCTGCCGGGTGGGGTCGAGGACAAGTCCTGCTTCCTGAGCCTCTTTGCTCTGCCCCTTGGGGCAAGTTGCTTAACCTGTCTGTATGTTGGTGCCCCCGTCTCCGCTGTGTCATCCATCCTTTGAATACCTCCCCCCACAGAGGGGCAGGGGCCCACCTGAAGGAGCAGGAAGGCCAGCGTGTAAGGAGTAGAATGCTGCAGGGCCAGGGGACAGCTGCCTCCCACCTTGCCTGGCTTTTGGTGGAGGGGACCCATCTTTCCTTACGTTGCTATTGAAGAGATGGTTGAGGTTCCGTTGAAGGGAAAACCAGACTAGCTCTTTCCCTTGTCCATTGCCTTGACCCTGGGAGGTGGGAGGCATCTGGCCCACCCCTTCCTGGCAAGTCCCAAGGTCTGGAGAAGTGTCCACCTGTCCAAGAGGCAGCCAGTGCCACCCCTGCTCACCCTGCAAGGGGTATCTGCAACCTGGGCCAGATACTGCGTCCATAGCTTTCCTGAACACAGCCTTCGGGGAGGGCTGAGGACACATGGGTTTTCCAGCTAAGGGGCTGCCTCCCCCGCCCACACCCAGCACCCACGCACAGGCCAACCCACACAGTAGGGCAGCACTTTCAGGGGCAACAGTACGGATTATGACATCTTAGGGTGAGTTCACACCCTAACCTGCCTAAGACGAGATGTGAAGGGCTGCATGGGGTGCAGTGTGCAGCTCGGGGCAAGGGGGGAGGAGGCTGCCCAGGTTGGACCCCATTTGAGTGATTCCTGCAGGCAGAACTGAGAGAGAAAGTCTGATCCAAAGGAGAGGGAAGCTTCCCCGGGAACAGCCCGGGGCCGAGGTTCTTTAAGGATCCTGGGGCCCTTTGCAGGATCTGAGCCAAGCCACAGAGAGTCACAGACAGCCCATGGGACGGAAGCAGTGGGAATTTCAAACACTTTGCCTCAGTCTTAGCAAGGCTGCTTCACTAACACTGAGGCAGGGAGGCTCCCCCAGCTCTCAGGGGGTGGGCAGCAGGTTCCTCGGATGCTGGCACAGGGCGTGCTGCCCATTTGTGACACCTTGGTCACCACTCCTACAGCCCCTGCCAAACACACACACATCTGCTAGGAAGAAATCACCTGGCGGATCCTGGTCGAGCTTCGCATGGTGGCTTAGGAGTAGCACGTAGGAGGTCCCTGATTTAAAAAAAAAAAAAAAAAAAAATCGGAGGAGACAAACGAATGAGACAAAAAACTTGAAATGCCAGAAGGAGACAGTGCCCCAGGCAGAGCCAACTCCGGGCAGTCCCGTCCCCTAAACCAGGCGGGGGCCGGTCCTTGGGAGTTCGACCCAACCTTGCCGCCGACGCCAGCAGGCCCAGCCCAAGCCCGGGCAGCGCCCTGCCTTCTCCCCCCTGTTGAGAAGAGCCTTCCTGAGACAGGTTCAGAGCAGGATCGGAGAGATGGGACAACCGCCCGGGGGAGCCACGAGACCCCGCCGAGCCGTGTCTTGTGCCGCACCCCTAACCAGCGCACCTCTATCAACATAGTATTAAACAGAAGTCCTGTGACGCTAAGGCTGGAAACGAGCTCCGTCCCAGGGTGCGTTGCTTTGGATAGCCTCAGACCGCAGCACGCAGAGGAATCACAGAGCTGATCTCATAGACAGGACTCTTCATGCAGACGAGGACACTAAAATCCACAGAGGGGAAGGGACTTGCCCGAGGTCCCTCGGCTGGTAAATCAGGGGGAGGTGAGGGCTTGAACCCGGGCCTTCTGAGTCCTTATCTAGGGTTCTCCACCTGCCCGCAGGGGCCTCCTTAGAAATAGAGGTGTAACTTCACATCTGTCTGTACCTCTTATCACTTCTCCCCCATCCTCCGTACGCCTCCCAAAATGAAAATCACAAAGGATTTTTCGGAGGCCAAGACCGGGCCGTCTGCGGCAGCCCACAGGGAAGCCAGCCTCGCAGGGAAGACCCGGGCCAGGAGAGAGTGACGAGCTGACTGGTGTTTGTCACTGTGAAGTCTCGACTGTACTCTGGAGTGGCGTCTCTTGTTTCGTGATACTTGGGGCCCCCAGCAGGCTGCGTCCCTCGGGCCCTCAGCCATGGAGGCTCGGCCACCCCAGGGCTCACTGGGCTGGAGTTCAGCACACGTGAAGAGTTCAGTGAAGCAATAAACACAAAAATCTGGGAGAAGAAATCCAGAATTTTGTGCCCTACTCTGTTTCTTTTTCAAAAAACGATGCCGATCGGATGACCCTGCCCCTGTTTTTTTTTTTGATCCCCCCAATTGGACATCCTCAGTCAGTGTTGTCCCTCTGCCCAGCTCCCAGCTCTTTGCCAACTTCACCCTCCTCCTGGGCTGAGCATCAGTCGCCTGTGACATGGCCGCCTTCTGTCCCGGTCCCACCTCCAGCCCACCCTGGCCGGAGAGGACCTCTCGCCCTGCCTCCCCCCACCAGCACCCCTTTCCCCTACACACACACACACACACACACACACACACACACCGTGCCGCATTATTTCTTCCCGGGGGGGGGTTATTTTTTCCCCGACCTCTCCATGCCTTCCTGCACACCCACATACCTACAGAGTGGTCTGATCTTTTTTCCATTGGTTAAAGATTTAACTCTCCATGGCAGACCTTGTTTTAACCCCTCTCACATCATGTTCTTTCCTCTTTGCGAGTTATTTTGCATTAACCAACCTTGTCAGCGACAGATGCGGATCTGAGGGTGTCACACACGACCTTCAGCAGGGAAGACTTCCGGGCCGCGGAGGACCATCTAATACATGGACTTATAAACTGACTGCATGAGCAATGAAAAGGCCAAATTATTCAGAATTTTTTTTTTTTTGGAATCACTGTAAAAAAAAAAAACTGATTTCTTTTGTATAGAGAACACTAAACGTATAATAAAAGTTCAAAATGGACTCTGGCCAAGTGATTTGTTCATTTTCTTTAGTTAATGGGAAGAGGGAGAGGGGTGTTGGGATTGAAAACAGAGAGAATCAAAAAGGATTTCTCAGGGGCAACAGACAGCACACACTTCGGGGATTCTTTTTTTATTGTTATGTTAATCACCATATATTACATCATTAGTTTTTGATGTAGTGTTCCATGATTCCACTTCCGGGGATTCTGCAAGACCCATCTTGAAGTTGGTCTTATCCCGGAAGCCTCATCGGCACAATTTGTGTTCTAACTGTACAGTGACTGATATGTGTGCAGCCGTGGAGATAGCCTGATTCAACGCAACCGTATGTGTGCTTGTGGACCATTTAAGAAGTGCTGTGATGGGGATGCTGGGAGAAGGGGAGAAGTGTGTGATGAAGCTCTGTGTCCCCCCACCTTCTTCTGTACCCCGGCCCTTAGGTGGGAGAATACCAGCACATTTAATATTGTTGAAGGAATGAATAATACTGCCTACAACAAACCAAAAACCTCTCTCAGTAGACTCAAAGGAATCTCAAGCAACCAGCAAATAGGGGAGGGAAGGAGGCAGAGAGGGCTGTGTTGGTGGAGGGGCACTGGTCCACAGTTATGCGTCCTTTCTTGATTCTTCAGCCTGAGTTGGGCTAATTCTCACTGAGGAGTGCCCCATCGGCCGTCACCCGGGCAGGATGAATAGCGAGGGGCGCCCAGATGGTGTAACTCCCCTCCCTATTCTCAGGGTGGTGCAGGGGCTAGAGAGTGGGCAGGGCTGGGAGATGGCTCTGCTCAGGTAGAAAGATAACTGATGGTTTACAGGCAGAAATGGGAAATAAGGGCAAAGGATTCCCCTGAAAATGCAAGCCCCACTCTCCTGGATAAAGGACCATCAGGTAACTATCCAACCCACCTGTGTTTCCTCTCCCTTCAAAAGTCCTCAGAACAGATAGGGACCTGAGGCCTTATTTCTGGGTCTGACTCCTCCTGAATTTTTGGGTATCTCGTTGGGTATGCCACGTAACACCCCTGAACCTCCCTGATCACTCCTTGGAATACGTGAAAGATCTTTTTCCATCACTCTCAAGTTCACAAGCTGTCTCTGAAATCTGCCCTTCATGTCCATGTGCACCCTCCCACCAGTAACCCAAGCCCTCATCCTGAATTGACAGAGTCCTTGCCTCTCCTGGCACCTACTCCCTGCTCGAAACTGCAGCCAAGAGGATCTGCTAAAATACAAATGTGATCATGTCCCTTCTTTACTGAAGACCTTCAAGTTTGCTACAATACCTTCAGTCTGCTCCAATGGGATAAAATCGGAACGCCTTGGCTTGGCATGTTAGACCTTTTGTGGATCTGACCTCTCCTTCGGCAGCCTTGTTTTTAACCACTCCTCCACATGTATCCTAAATTCCCATTCTATTCTGTTTCCTGCTCCCCCCGACATGCAATTATTTCTCACACTTCTCAGCGTTGGCAATTCAATTCCACTCAAAAGCACCTATTAATAACCTACTCTGTGCTAATTAATGCTATAAGGTAAGTAGGATAGAGTTCCAGTCCTCAGGAAGCTCAAACTGTCATGAGAAACAGTCAAGTAAGCAAAAGCAATGTTATAGGAGTGCCTACCTGGCTCAGTCTGTAGAGCATGCAGGTCTTGATCTTTGCGTCGTGAGTTCGAGCCCCACATTGGGACGAGAGTTTACTTTTAAAAAAAATCAATGTTATAGTATCCAGGACAAAGGGCTCAATAAATGTGGGTTCAACAAATGAATGATGGCCCAAAGGTGGGTCTGCTTGGTACACCCTCCTCCTGGCCTTCCATAC